TTCGATTTCTTGTCCTGATTCGTCGAGAGGATTAAATCAGATGATTTTGGCACCACATCTATCACCATGTCTCTCTGGCTAATTTTCTAAATATACTAATAGCGCGCGCTAATCAGAAATCGTGGTTGCTAACCAATTATCTAGCCACTTGCTTCTTCTATTCTTTTACAGATATCAGTGAAATGTGGCAGCGATTCCAGATGAATCGCAAACATTGGCTATTTCTTATTTTAAGTTTAATTTTTTCAAAAGGTAGATGAAGCAAAAATTGTCACTACGAAGAATACTTTGAAAAATATTTTATGGATATTATTTATTAAATTTATTCCATAAAAAAACCAAACTCCATTATATTTTTCGACAAAAAAAGTAACAATCCACAAATGCGCACACATATCTAATTAATCAACGATTTTATTTCAAAAACGTGAAAAATAAATTTCAATTTTTTGATTTTCTCTCTAAAAGATTAAATAATGCGATAAATTAAAGCAATAAGAGTCAAGAGGAAAATTGTTTGCAAAAAAATAACTATGCAGAAAACAAATTCAATAAATTTCTAATTTGCTACTCTCACTGGGCCAACTGAACAAATTCAAACTACTTCGGTAAACATATTAATATGAAAAAAGAAATAATATAATAATAAAATTTTGAATATAATAAATGCAGAATGCATTAATCCCAATGGTTTTGGAGACTCTTATATGTCTCAACGGACTTTTTTCAGAATTATTCATCTAACAATCACTGGGGCCAATAACTAAGCTGGAAATAATGAATCTCGTTAGAAGAGATTACCAACTGCTTTAAGGGAGGCTTAATTTGAATTAGGCCTACATCGAGAAAAATCGAGAAAAATTCGAAAAAAATTCATGGCTTTGAAAAGCTTACATAACTTTATTAAAAGAGAAACTAAGGGAATTCCCACTTCTCATTTAATTTTAATGTGATAGTTTGACAAGCCTTCTTCCTTTTTTTTACCCAAATTTTTTGTGCAATTCATAGAATTTTTATTATTAATATTTATTAAAATATTAATAATTTCCTTAAAATATTTTTTCCGAGTCAAATACACGATTGCTTATTTTAATTTATTAAGAGAAAATAAAGTAAAATATAAATTTCTCAATGGGAAAAACTATAGACAATATGAGTGACGATATGAAAATTAGAGCACCTATTGCCATAATGATAATTAGCTCTTTCATAGTTCTTTTACTGCAGTACAGCATAAAATAGATAAATGATTGAAAGAACATTCTTCACATGCGCAGTACCCGATGTTATGTGATACATTATTTTTGCGAACAATTCCCTCTCCAAAAGAGGGAAAGGGAGCAAAAGAAAATCTGTATTGAAAATCTGATTTGTATTTCTTACTTTTATTTTCAAGACAGGTTAGCTGCGATTTTATTATTAGCGAGTTGAGAGTAAGCAATTAGGCTACTTACAACATGAGCAAACCTGTCATTCAAAAATTTGTATATCTGCAAATCTGCAAATTTGTTGGCGGTTAATCTTTACTATACTCTTATCTCGTCAAGTGATTTCTTGGTGAAAATTTTGAGTCTAAATAGAAATGGCGCTTATTTTTTTGTTGAAAAACGTTGATAATAATACATAATTCATCTACTGGATTTATGGATACTTTTCGGAATATTAAATAGGGAATTTAATCTACAATAATTTATGTATCTGTGAGGAATGCTATAGGCGAAAAAATCGTTTCGAACGAAAATTTTCTTAGAAATTCTTTTTTTTGCATAAAAATTTTCAATTTAGTAATTTTGAAAAGCAAAAATTTAAGAAATGAAAGAATTTAAAGCATCAAACTAACTCATTTTATCCTTCTTAACATTCTTTAACTAAATACTTATTTGTTTAACTGATATTCACATAGAAGAACCGTTGAGTTTTTCTCTCGTATTCGCAAACATGAATTTTGATGGATTTATTTTAAAATATTTTTCGAATGATGTAAAAATTAAGCAAATTTTCAAGTTTGTTTGTTGACTTAAAAAAAATTCAGTCATTTTCAAAGAATTCAATATTTCTCATTCTATATATTATGCAGTCCATTTGTCATCTATCTAAACTTTTTTCTTTATCGGAAATATAAAATCCATACTTTAAATACATTTTTCCATAATGCGATACAACATCGCGATTTCTAAAAGTTCGATCGGAAAAAATCAGTTGCTATAGAAATGGCAAAAAAATTAAGTTAATTTTTCTACTTTGATTAGTTAATCACAGTTAAAATTATATACCATATTCAAAGCGATCACTAAATTGCTTGAATTTCTCGTTTATTAAATAAACGATAGGAAAATTCTAATTTCTTCTTTTCCTGCATGAAATAATTTTTATTTTAATGATCGAACATTAGGAAATACACAATTAGAATTAGGAAGTGAATAAATCAGTGGAATTTTTCCACAAAAAAATCAAAATTTTCTTTTCCTTTGAGGAATTTGTCTGATAGATTTTAATTAATTGATTTATATTTTTATATGATTTTATCATAAAACTGAATTATATTGCATATAGCATAATTTTATCAACGAGTGAGAAAAAATTCTAAAAAATATTGCAAAAAAAATATTGTTAAATTGTTGTTCTTTTATCCTACTCCACAAAATATTATTAATTATAATAGTTTTAAATTAGACGAATAATCTCTTTCAAGGAATAGAATTAGGAAATCTGGCTTAGTGAATTATTGCTATCATATCAATGCTGGGATTCTCCACAGGATTTTAGTTTTCAAAAATCATGGTGCTGACTTATATTTTTATTGTTAAACTACTAGTCTAATCCGATAAGCCACGGGAGCTAAACCAAAAGCCTTCCTAATCATAGTTATAGTTCATCAAAGTAATTTTTTTTAGAAAATCTAAATAGCAACATGGGCATGAAAAAAAATTTTAAAAAAAAGAAATGTGAAGAAAATGGAAAGATTGACGCTCAAAGAAGGCTTTATGAATTTAATTTTAGCATCTAAAGTTCTATAGATATGATGTAAATATAATTTCATTTTAAATATCCTCTTCTAGTGCATCAAAGATTTTTTGTGGAATTTGGTATAGAAGAATTATTGTTTAGAAGAATATATAGAGTTAAAGAATTTAATGTAATAGAGATACTCATCATTCATATCATAAATTCTTTTTGTTCAACTTTTCATCGATAATTATTAAAAATAACAAGGTCATTAGAGCATCTAATATTATAATAACCGCTAGGATAATTTTCAACTGCTGAAGTTATCAATTATGAATTATTTCGGAACTATCATTAAGAAAAAAACAACTGGGAAAAAAGGATTAGATTAGTGAGGCCTCGCATAACAAATAGATATTAGCTTAATTTTAGCTTTTATGTCCAAAAAGTGGTTAAGTTAATTAACAAAATTCCTCAAAACAAAATTTTAAAGATCAAATATAGTTTGTTTTAAAAATTTCACTTTGTGAAGAAGATTATGTCCACAATTCATCTTAGATCCGCAATTCATTATGTGAAACTATGTGATTTATAACAACAACAAGAAACTACTTCGATGATTACAGTTTTTTAGGTAATACTTATAATTTTTATTAGTTAAAATTTTAAAATGGAAGAATTTGTTAAAATTGTTAAAAAGAAAGTAAGTAGCTAAAATTTTTAATTCTAAAATAATTTATTCACGAATGTTTGACAAATGCAGTGTGTAAATTTTATGAAAGCATTTTGTCAAATTGACTTTTTATGAACAGTTTTCATGAAATTCTTTATGAATTCATTAAAAATATTTTCAAATGTATTTTAAAATGAAAAAAATAATATAGAGGTGGTAAATTCAAATGAAACAATGTGGCTGAATGGTGTATTGTTTAAATTGAAAGTTAGTTCAATACTATTATTGTTTTTGACAAATCTTATTATTTAAAATTAAATCCGACTGATGCCCATTTGCATTTTTATCACTCTCTGGTGAAACAATTGCATTGTAGTCATTGAAGTCATTGTGGTCATTGAAGACAGCCCAAAATGCTCCAAAAAATGAAAATGCTACATTTATTAATAAGTATCAGTTTTGTAGAAGATTTGATTGTGACTCTTTCAATAAAATAATTAACTGAACTAATTTCACAATCATATATATTATATATTTAATATTAATATTTAACACAAACCAACTGATGATGGATAATGGACGGAGACACTTTAACGGTTAAGACTCACGCTATCTTCCTAACAAATATGCCCATATGGTATCGCTAAACTATCGGACTCCCGCTCCCTTTCCTCTCACACCAAGATTAAACTTGTTTTTTAAAAAGTGGTGACGAAACCACTCGAAGTGTGCGTTTTTTCTGCCAGACTCCTCATCAGAATTTATTTCGTCCAACAAATCAGTGCAGCGAGTATAAGGAGCAGTGATGAATTTGCAAAAAAGTTTATCATAAGCATAACAAGTAAATTATTTATTTCTCCTGGTGATTGTGTGCCTATTGTAAGGCCAATTAATATGTCATATTAATATTAGTATTATTAATAACATATCGCAATTTATCTGATCTCCTTAAATAAGTAAAACAATTTCAAGAAAGAGATATATAAAAATCGTTAATATGAAAACGAAAAACCAAATTAAAGATATCATTTGTTTGATTGATTGCCATCTATGGCAGCAATTAAATGAAATATCCTCAAATATTTTCGAATTAAGAAAAATTATCATTGGATAAATTGACAATTATCATTGGATAAATTTTTTATGCTCTATTTTTACATAATTAATTAAAGAGAAAGAGGTTTTATAACAGTCATTTTATAACAGCTAAAAATGCAAAAACAAAAAACGAATATAAATGAGAATTTGCGCAAATAAATTAATTAAATCAAATCTTGGCTATATATTCGATCTTCTCCTCTATTGGATTTTCTAGAATTTTCCTAATCCTTTGGGCTATCTTTCGCACAAACTAGTTTTTATTAAGATAGTTTGATGTTTATTAATGACTCGATGTATGATTATATTCGGCCCAGTCAGGATATGACTGTAAATCAAATAATATCGAAGCATAGGTGTATGTGCAAATAACAGCCACTGCCATTGCAAATGCATTCATGACAATACCTGCTTTCACCTGAAGATCAAAATTTCATCGGTTATACTGAAACGGTTATACGGTTACATGAAAAATGAAGAATCATGTTATTTTGCGCAATTTATAAGCGATTAGCACTTAGGACTTAGCAATTTTGGTAAGGCTTACTTTAGATTAGATAGTAATGCTTGCCAAAGCATTACTTGGAGGTGAAAGGTATAGAGAGCCTCTAGTCCCACTCGTGTCTTTCCATAAAAATTTACTTTTGACGAGGGGATAGGCCGAAGGGGATAGGGGATAATCATAATGCTCAAAATAATAATAAAACAACCAGTCGGCGATTTTTACTACTATACTCTTTATTACTATACATTACTATGCAAAATGTCTTTAAGAATTCGCTTGGCAGAGTGAAAATTCTTTCTCATCGATAATTGATTATTACGCTATTCATTTATGCAGCGAATTGATATTTTATTAAACTCAAATAATAAGAAAACGGAGTAAACAGAAAAAAGAGAATTCACCATATCGACAACTTTCACCATTTTTGAACTGAAAACGATGGCATTCGGTGGCGTAGCAGCGGGCAAAATAAATGCGAAAGAACAAGCCATTGTTGTAGGCAAAATATAAAAAAGTGGATTTGTTCGATTTTGTTTCGCCTATGATTCAATATTTCAACAATAACTCGTATAAGTAATGATAAGTTACTAGATAAACATAAACTTAAACTTTCTTTTCCATAAACTAAATTTTCCATAAACTTTCTTTTTCTATAATGTTCATCACTTCTGGTTTGGCTCGCTCGAATGGCTGCTAGGACGTTTAGCCAAAGAAATTTATGGATAAAAGCACTAGCATCACTCGGATGTAAATAGATTTATTCTCAAGGGGCAGAGGTCGAATCATAATGCTTGAGACTATAATCACTCAAACTACTATTATTTCATAAATTAAATCTTAATCACTCTCCTGCTTCATTTTTTTTTGAATATTAGATTTTTAGTTTACAGTTTCAGTACTAAATTTTTACTAAATTTTTCTACAATTTTTATTTTGCCATCCTATTGAAAACAAATCGCTAAAAATTTCTTATCTAATGAATAAAGCTACAAACGATTGAGTTGACAAGTGGTATGAAAATCGATGCTGTTGCAATGTTGCTGCTGAATTCAGTGATAACTGTTATAAGTGTGGAGCTTGCAGAAATAAAAAGCCATCGTGGAAGTGAAGTAAATGAGCCAAGCTGAGAGCCAAGCACATCGGATAGTCCACTTTTTTCAACACTTAAAAACCAAACACCAATATCAACAAATATGTAATAAATGTTTCAACGAAGCGAATGAACAAAGTTGAATTTTGCTGACGACTATATAAAATTTTAAAAGCTCCCCAAAAAAAATTATTTTACTTGAAATTAAAATTAAAATTATTTTAACCAGTTTATAAATTATAAAAATGGAAAATTTTAAAAATTCATTTATCTTCAGCCATTGCATATCCTCCACCGAGAAGTAACATGGTACTCCAAGAAAATTTTTCCTTCATTTTATTCCATGTCATCAGTGTACTATATTGTTGTCCATTTCTCGGTGGCTTTAGTGGATTTTCTGATGGCACAATAAAAAGCAAGAAAGCCATCAACATTGCTACAGTACCGTCTGATATACAACTGAAAAAGGAAGTCATAACATGTTTTTGAAATAAATCATAATTCTGATCCTTCCATTGTTCAATTGGCCTTTTCATTTCCTTCACTGATAAACAGGAAAGTTATGCATTGAAATAGCATGAAAATACCAAGCATAGATTTCATGACGCTTTTTTTAGTTCGCCATACTAATCAAATCAATAAGAAGATTTTAGTCAACTTGAATAAGTCTAAAATCATCGTATTATTATTTCAAAATTATCTAAATAAAAAAGAAAAAACAAGAGCTAACTGATGTGAAAATAGGGAGCTCCATCCTGGCACAACTTTTGGTTCTCGAAATAACCATAAAAAAACGAGGCAACTAAACAATATAAGTACCAACCTCTCATCGAATCTAAAAGTCAATTTCTATAGTTCCTCATCTATAATCTAAGCTCATGGTCAAAGAAACGTTTCGTTTATTTTCCTACTTTTTGATTGGAGCAAAATGTATTAAAATTCAAATTCATAGTTAAAGTTGGTGCTTGGAAGATATCTCTATTTCTTTCTCGAAGTGGCCTTTTGGATTTCATTTTAATAGTTAGTGATACTATTTGAATAAGATATCCTTATCAATTAACGATTTAAATCTGGCAAATTAAATTTAATGTTTAAAAAATTAGCTATTTATTCGAATTATATGGATTTTAAATTTTTTTGTTATAAATCGGATTTTCTATTTTCTCAGCGATTTGCCTAAATATATTAATCTCATAATGGAAAATTCTGAATAACGAACGAACGAATTTCGTTCTAAGCCAGTGGCTGTCAAATTGGCTTCTATGAGCCCCCGGGGTGACTCTTAGTATATTCATATTTTATTGAATAGGCAAATCATTTCTGATGATTATTTTATGCAAATTATTATATTTACTCAAAACTCTTAGGTAAAAATTTAATTTTAAAATGTTAAATTGGGGACTCCAAAAAAAATTGACGGCAAGCAAACCCACTGAAATTCGACAAAAAAATTTACTTCATTGAGCCAAGCCTTTCATATTTTCTTCGCAACATCTTAGCGACGCTGCCATCATTCTCTTCCTCATCGCATCTAAAATATTTGTTTTCAACTAATTCTATTGCTTATGTCTACAACTAATTACATTATTTTTAAAAGTACAATTTTTTGTGGATTTTATTATTTATTTCATATCATTGAACTACTGTTTAATTTAAATTAAAGCAAGAATTTAATTAAGACTTGATTGGTATAAAAATATATTGCAGCCAAAGCCAACAGAAAAGTTGAATGCAAATGATTTGTGGTATAGTAAATAACATCCAAGTAGCGAAAGTAATCGGAGTTTCACTCGAATATATCCTAAAAATTTGTTACTAAACTGGGCTTTGTTTTTTTTTTTCAGAGCTCGCAGGATGTATTTATTTTAATAGATGATTACAATTTGAAACGTCTGTAGAGAATAAATTTCTTAAAGATCAGCTTTAATGAGTAATGTTCATTCAATATAGATGACTTCTCTAAAAATCCATTGAGAACAATATTTGGACCTGTACCAATAAGAGTGCCAGTACCTCCAATTGTTGCCGAGTAACAAATCGATAAAAGAATTGCCTGAAAATCGATTAAGAAATTATAGCACCAAACACCAGATTTTTTATGTAGTAATAACCTGCCGGATGATGTAGAATGTCTTCTATCTCCAAAGGAATTTGCGACAAAAAGGGATTCTTTCCTTTCAGTAGTTAATGACATTTGCTATATCAGAAATGTGAATGTTTCAGTCAAAAAGAGGTCTCCCACTGAATCAGACTGATAATCATAATCATAAATTAAATACATGGAATATGTTAAAAAATGTCTAAAAACATTACTTTATAAATATTCTTTTCTCTCCTCGGAATGTTCTGGAAATCAAATATTGTTTCTTTTTTCACCAATTCCCAATGTAATGGAATATTTTCAATCTTTCTTAGCCTGCAAAATTTATTTATTTATGATAAACCATCGAAAAAACGTGATTTATTGCTTTGTTTCTAAATTCAACTAACTTAAACTCATTATGTATTCTTAGTTCTTTGAATACAGCCATAGCGATTGGTACTATCATGGCCGTTGCTGCCGTGTTGCTGATCCACAATGATAGCGATGCTGTTGTTAGTTGGAAGCCTAGTAATAACCTAAAATTAGGTGAAATAAGCTTGTGGTCTCGTTCATAATTTCTTCTTCTTGCGAAATAATCTTTTTTTTTGAAAATTTAAAGATTTGGCTAAAATTTATTTAAATCCAATTCAAATCCATTACATATGGATATATGCCTTGCTTGGCCTTCCTTTAAAAAGTTTAAATTTTCATTAAGCACCAATTTTAAATTATTGGACAATGACTGAGCTCAACAGTGGCTCAGTGGCTGTCTATAATCTTTAAAAAATAATTAAATTAAATGTAATGTAAAAGACTTAACTTCTTGGATTGGAACCGGTAAATGTTAAAACTCTTAAAGCGATTCGCTCATGTAAGCGACTCTCTTCAACTGCAACAGCCATTATGATACTTCCAACAAAAACGAAATTACTATCCTTTAATGAATTTATAATGAATGCAAACTGATTAATCAAAAAATATATATTTTTGGCAAAAATATTCCAAACGACAGGAAAATCGGTGAAAACCTCAAGAAAATCCCAAAAATCAATTTACGACCAATAACTGAAAGAATAACTGAAAGAATGAATGCTACAGTTAAATTATTACCGTCAAGTAAAATATTGATACTCGCTTTGCTGGTAAAATACCGAAAATCGGGAAGAAAATGACAGGAAGAAACGCGGTTACGGCAAGTGGTATCACTTCAGTCATCCAGAGCAAACCCATAAGAAGAACGATGTAAGCTGCTAGCATTTCCTAAGTGATGGAATAGAACTGATCTTTCTATCAATATTTTTTGTTTAATAAAAAATCAGAAAATTGGCAGAGATTTTTCAATAAAGAAACAATTGGAATCAAGTAAAAGAGCAAATGGGATGGAAAGAAATATTCTTCCAGAAAACTAATTGATACGAAAATATTTGAGGAATCGCTTAAGTCTTCTCGAAGAATAAAAAATATCGCCGAAGGGAACAAATTCGATTTCCATATAAAATATTTTGCAGCCTAACCTTCTTTCGTACTAATATGGGAAGCAAAGCTAGGCCAAGAAAAAATGTGGCCACAATAATCTGTCGTCTAGCTGAATTTAAGCGTTGTTTTATCGTGAAATCGCCTGTCTGAATATTTGAAATAGTAAAATTGCTCGAAGGTAGGGAATCAGATTCAGATTCAGATTTATCTTCAGGCATAATTGATCTAAAAATATTTATAATATATTCGTCTGAAAAATGTTTATTGTTGAAATTTAAAGATGTGGCGATGTAGATCTAAAGATTATCGAAATTGTAACTTTAAAGCAATAATCAATTGAATCAGTTTTTCAACGGTTCATATAACGACGATTCATAGGAGAGAACAATTTGCGAATCGATGTCGTGAATCTGCCAGACTCTTTAGTATTCCCCTCAACAAAATAGCATCCTGGTTGACTAATAAAAACTTTCCTTATAGGTATTCGCAGCATTATTATTTCCCTTCCTCTGTGGATAGGTCTAAACGCTTATATACTTTATTTTTGGAAAAGATCTTCATTGTTTAAAAATAAGTGCTCAGTGATCGCGAGAATATGTGAATACATTGTACGATTGATTTAATAATATCATTAATAATTTAATAATTCAGTCTTTTGAATTAAAAAAAAGAAAATAAATTTTTTCATCACGAAAATACGAAATTGAGAATACATTCTGAGAACTAAAAGGGTGGGGACAAACGACAAGATCAAGACCTACTGCAATAGTGGAATTTAGGCTAATGAAAGAAACTTTTTCTTCGACAATCTTTCTCCGAACTTTTATCTTTCTTTCGTATCATCCATCTTTCCCAACAAATACCTCTTGCCTATTGTTTTCCATGATGTTTCTTATGTGGCATATATATAGCAAGTATTATGCAATTGAAGATTCAGAAGTTAGGAGCATATTTGATGGACCCACACTAGGCAAAAAGAGAAATTCAAAACCAGAATCATAGCTCTATTAACTAGTGGTCCGCCACTTATATGAATCTACCATAAATATATATTTGCATGGACAATTTGACAAACTGTATTATATTTTATTTTATATGGATGGTACCTAAATGCATTATAATTATTAGCGTTATAATTATTATTTTCTTATTTTTTATCATAAAGATTATAAGAGATACAAAAAAGACGAAGCAAAAAAAGGTAGATAAAAGGAAGGACCGGTAGTTTACTACCGGTAGAGGAAATACCGACTTTAAATATTTTGAATTCATTCTAATCCCAAATGGCCAATCCCAAAGGATGAAATTATAACTCGGATAACGACAGTTGAAAGTGTGTTTTTCCGATTGATAACTTTTATGGAATCGTCGCGAAATCACCATAAAGATGAAAGTCGAAACATGGCCAATGAGAGTGGAAGATATTAAGAAGCTATCAGCTTTTGACCACTCTTGTCTAAGATATATTTTACAGATCCGTCGAGCAGATAAAATCGCATATGATTGTATCCATCTTCTCTCAAATACCATCTGTGTTAATAATGTTAACACAAAGGATCGCATTCTCTGGCCGGCACGTTCTCTGTCGTCCACCACAGGAGTTGATGCATATTTCGTTACTTGCTAAACCATGTGATGTTGGCGTCAAAAGCGAGTGGGGCCAATCAAGACCTGGACTGATACGGTGACAAAAGATTTTGAACGTATAGGTGGACCAACAATATAAGGACTTAGACGATGGAAAAAAGAATGGTTTCTATTAGTAGCAATGGCGTCGGATCAAGCAACTTAGAGACATCTTATCCTTATAACCAGCGCCAGTCTAACCAGTAACGGTGAGAGCTATTAGAATAAGAAGTGTTATGTCTGTGTTTCAACTAAATTAAAAGATTAGCAGCAAGAAAAAATCTCCATTTTTTGGAATTAAAAGTGTTTCATAATTTCAATACGACAATTTCGCTTCTATTGGGAAGCCATTTCGCATCAAGAATTATTAATGGCGTTGAGATGCTTAATTACTTTTAGTTGGACTTCGCTAGCCTTGTCGGAACAGAAAATTTTGCCAAAGAGCTATTTCGTGAGAAAAATACAAGTCACCAGCATTATTCGAATTTCTTGAGAAAAACATGTCTACTCCCGCCAGGAATAAAATCTCATCATGTGCACTGGTTTAGTAACAGTTCACTAAGGACATTCCACTTTCATCCTATATGAGTTGAGTTATCTTACTTGTTTTGAACTTGTATAACTTTATGTCATTATTGTCACAGAAAACGAGTGCAACAAAGCGAGTTATACGAATAATTATATGGAAAAGTAGAAAGTGCAAAATTATTCGAATCGAAACTTTAGCTGCAATATTGTCAATATAAAATGGCTCATTCAATTCAATACCCTTTTATATAGCATGAAACTCTTCGTATTTTAGTGGAAATTATTAAATAAATTTCTAAAGAAGAGAGATAATACTAGTTTTTATAACGTACGAATGAGTGCCGCTTCAGTTAAAACTTGTTAAGTGATGATGATGATTCCATCTAGGACATTTGCAATTTTGGTAGGTTCAGCAATCATAATTATATTAATTGCAATTGAAGAAGTTCGTCACTTTACGGGTTGTAATTGTGATTTTTGCCAAGGAGAGGCCGTGTCATTTGGCAGATTCGACCTTGTCGGATACAGCGTCGGTCTGAACGATCTCGTCGAAGCGATAATCAGCTATCGTTCAATGATTACAGCTCTCTAGTCTTATAATATCGTTGTTTCTAACAAAAAAACAAACCTCTTTTCCCTAAAAACTAAGTCAGCAGTTTTCAAAGCTCGTCCTCAGTCCTCACAGCAAAGAAAGCAAACAATAAAATCGGCCTATTAAATATGATAAGAAAATTATAACGACAATAAAAGATAAAAATACTTCACATTCCATGGCAACTTTTTTCCAAAGCCTTGCAACTTCTCGCTGAACGATTCATGAAAAAGGAGAAATTAAATTTAAACTTCAAGTTGAATCAGAACTTTAATCATGCTTCATTTAATTTAAAAAATTTTAATTTTTTCTAAACAAATTTTAAACGTTTAATGAAAAAACTTGGTTTAATGAAATAATGAAATGTGGCATTATTTTAGCGATAAATTTGAATAATTTATTATTTTTTCTTTTTTATTCTGCTTTATTCTCAATCACAGATTTGAATCCTCTTTACTGTGGAATAAATCCACTCGTACAACAAGCCCTGCTTTATATATTTTTGTCTATTCATTCGTCTTTTTTTAAAACGAGCATCGATCGAAACCTTTTAATTTAACTCCTTTAACAAACTAATTTGTATAAATAATTTTATTGGCATATGTTATATTTGTGAAAGAGTGAAATCGCAGATGCTAAAGGCGAGTGAAATTCAATAAAAATTACTGACAAATAAATGATTTATCTGGTAGAGGAATGATAGAGGAAAATTTAAAACAATTCACTTATAAATTTAAAGAATTATTTCAAGTGAAATCGACAGTTGATCAGTTCAGTAATTAGGGCAAACTCTTTTTATTTTTTTTTCCTACTACTTCTTCTCGCGGAAAACCTTTAATTATTTGTACAGACACTGGTTTTTGATAAAAAAATTTTATCTTCAGTGACACAATTTTCTTTTGAGAATTTGGTTTGATGGTCTTTAATGGATTATGAACGATAATATCAGTGGGTTGCTCTCATTTCAGAGCGCCGACACAATAGATAGAAGCAAACCTGTCCCCCCAAAATTCCCCTGTATTCCTCTCGCCAAACGATGATTCCCTGGCAAGATCTGTCTGGTTTGATAAATTAGTAAAGGGAACCAGTAAGCAAGTAAACACTTTAAGGAAAAAAAGTAAGATTGCCTTTCTTTCGCATGAAGAGCGATGCTCAAAAGATAAAACTATATAAACGGAAAAAACTTTATTGTTGACACAGACATTTGACAAATTATACATTGGAGATCGAAATATGATAAAATTTATTTCATAATATGGCAAATATGCTCTTTGATTTTGCCTGGAAGACCAATGATGATTTCTGAAAAAATTCTAAATTTTCGATTTGGATTCGATTCATATTATTTAAATGTGGCGAATTATTTAGCATTGTTAGCATTGACAAAATCAAATCATTTTAATTTGCAACAATTTTATGATTTTTACCTTTTTTATATTTAATTTACATTTTCATACTTTTTTCTACATTTTTCGTTCTTCAATAAATTTGTTTTTAAATAAATAAATAAATGAAGTAATATTCAAAGTAAAAAAGTAATTTAAATTCAAAAAAGCTATCGTATTATTATCAACTATTGTCAGTTTTTAATCATGAAAATTATATCATTTCCGACTTTTAACCGCTGATAATCAGAAAGATAATCAGAAAGAGGATGATCAGTGACATTTGCTTTGGCCCAAATTCTCAGCTTAGCAAATGTTATTCAGGATTTTCTGCCTTAGAGAAACCTAGTCACTAAAAATCTCTGGTAAAAATTTTCACCTTAACAGAAACTACATATGTCTTAGCCAGACCAAACCAGAAATGGTGAGAAAAAACAATCTTTAATCGAGAAGAGTTCAATCATAAAATTATTTTTATAATATTATTATTGTTATAATAAAGAGAAAAGTTTTATAGAGAAAAGAAAATTTAGTTTTTGCCCTAAAAATTTTTTAACTTCAATGTAGAACATATTATACAATGATAACCACTTATACTGGTGAATAATGATAAACCGGTTATTTCAATGATAATCATATTTTTCTCAAGGTTCCTAATCCATTTACTTCTCACTAATAAGTTTAAGTTATCATTCCTGTTTCTGGATATGCTCGCTCCACTAGTTAGTGGTTAAAAAATTTCATCAAAGACCCGATTCGCCGCAGAAGTGTGAGTCCGTCTGGGCTTAACAGGTTCAATCTTACCAAAGATAAAAGGACTTGAAATGACAATGAATAAAAATAATGCAGATATAATATATATTTGGCCACACTTTTTTCATTTTTCACTTCTTGGTAGGTAAAATATTTTCTTTAATAAAAAATAATCAGAAGCTTTTGTGGGTTTCATTCCAATAGGCATACATTAAAATTGAAAAAAACCATAGAAATTGCCATCAAATTTTTTTTTGATTTCGCCAAAATTTGAAAAGTTTTTTGCACTTAATTTTACTTTCATGATGTTTTCCTAGAGATTTTTTTGAATTGGTTTCGCACAAACACATGCAAAAATTTTAATTGATATCACATTTTTGATATCACATGAAATTTTTGCTAATTTTTTCAAATTCCAGCCGCTTCAGAAGCCGAAAAACCTTTCCGAGAATATATCAACTAGTCAAAGCATAATTACCACTGACGGATTGCCCATTAATGATACACAAGGATTCATGAAAAGAAATTCGAAATTATTGTATTTAAAGTAGCTTTTAAATTGAATTACTCATTGGCCGAACCAAATCTTCGAATTATTTATTTTTTACTCCAATAATTTTAAAGTTATGATTAGTACAAAAAAAGTTAACATTTTTTTTATATTCGCATTTGCTTCACTTACTTTATCTGCAAAATTATCAAATTGGTTCGAGAGCTATCAGCGATAATGAGCCAAGGTGCAAGAAAATAATGGATTTGAAAATTCTGAAGTTTTTTTTTCAAATTACAGGAAATAAACAAATAATCAGTTACTGGAACAATAATTGCATATTTTCTTGAGTTTTCAAAGCACTCGCATATCATGGAATAGTGAAAAATTTTTCATAGCAATTCATTCTCGAATCCTGCTGCTATGAACAGATGCGATGAAACAGAAATAGTCGCTGAACCAGTTTACAACTTTGCCTGTACGGTCTAAAACCAAATTTGCAAGAATTATTACCTTTTTCAGCTCACAAGCTCTTTGGTTCTGCATTTTACATACAATTACATACAATTTTACATTTTACATACAATTTTTGTTCACTGCATTTTCCACCAGCTGAAACAGATTTACCGCAAGATCCACAAGTGCTAGTATATTTCCGAACTACAACTGGCCCTAGATAAAAATTATCATATGTTTCATCCTTGCCAAGACCAACATGTATATAATCCAGCTAAAAAGCTTTCATTCCTTGGTAATATAAATTTTTATCAAATGTTCACAATTTCATTTCAAAAATTCCGTATTTTCGTTCTCGTTAAGTCCACATTTTATACTAACTGCCTCGATATTCACTAAATAATTTTCTCCACGCAGCCATATTTGTTAATATTTTGTTGCAACAACTTCATAAATATCTTTTTTTTCTGAAAGTTTACTAAATAATGCAATTTTTTTAAAGCGAAATCTAATTTGGATGTTTAAGAAATAAGACATGCACTCTCTCCGAAGAATTTATTTAACTGATCTATTTTGGAAAAAACTCGAAATTTACCATTTTGAGCAAAAAAGCTAAATAAAAGTGAATATACACCAAAGTCACCGAAGTCCATCGCAAATGTTACCCACGCCTAAACTCCTCTATGCTCCTTCAGTGTCATCATTTTCATAAACATAAAAACCCCATCTGGTAGATTCATTCTGCGCAACTTCTTTCACTTCCAATAAGCAGCAATTTCTGCGCTATAAAAATGCAAGGAAAATGTTACATATACGCCGCATTATTTTATTTACAAAATGCAATTTGTGGAAATCTCTTGAATAATAAACAGGATACATTCAACAGGATTTGGGAAACTCGGAATCCAGCCTCTTAGTTTTTCTTACTAATCGGTACCATCACTAATACACATCTATCTATCTTACATCTTTTAACTGTAGAACGTTTAACTGTAGGACTGTAGAACGAATAGAACGTTTCTGCAAAATAGATACCACAATTAAATGTATCGGCATTTTGTAATTCTAAATAAATGTTTCCTGTTTTGTTATTCCCAATGCTCTTGCAAACAGAATAATTCTTTTGTCAACAAATATGAAGGAAATCGAGTTTTTTTAAATTGGATTTCATTCTAAAACTTTTCGTACCATTTGAAAATATGTTTTGGGCAAACTGCAGCGATTTTTACGTTTGAAATCTCGAAATTTTTACAGATTTATTTTAACAAAAAATAAAATTAAATAATCCGAAATGAAATAGACAGAATTATACAAATCGCATTGAAAAAAATCAGTTTTTTTTAGTAATTTCTAATCAAAAAAGCATTAAAAATTTAAAAAAAAGGTAAATTCTATCTAAAGTGGATAAATTGACTAATGGATGGCTTTCACCTAGTGCTTGACTGATTATGACGTTCTTCTCGGCAGCACACATCATTTCTGGTTTTGCTGATTTTAACCTTTAACATTACTATCATTTTGCTCGAGCGCCACTTCATAATATGAGTTTTTTCCACATCTCTTGGGATTTAACGATAGGACTTTGTCAAGGAAAAGGAATCGAATTCACATTGCCGACCTCAACTGTTCGACGGTATCTCATATGTTGAATGGTTTTAATCAAAATGCAAATTAAATATATGTTAATGAAAAATTACAGGGAAGAAGAACATATATTTATAATCTTAATGTTTTCTTAAAATGAATGGATTAATAAGATGAATAGAATATTTTATGAATAGTATTAATATTAGCATTAGTATAGTATTATATAAGTATTTTTATATTTAATGATAATATTTTAAGTGATAATATTTTAATGATAATATTATAGTTTTTAAAATATTTATTAAATAATTCTAGTGAAACAATCATATAATAATATTTTTAATATTAAGAATATCTTAAGATAGCTTTAAATCAATTTAAATACGATTTTTTTTATTTCAAATATGAAACAATGCAGTATAAACGATGTTTCCAAGCTGACTTAGCCAACCATTTAGCATTTGACTATAAAGTATCAAAAATTGTGAAAAACGATTCTTTGATCCATGAACTCTTTCATAGCGAAATTATGTCTAATGGCACTGCAAAAAATGAAGAAAAAGGGATGGAAACTGATCGAATTGACTGGTAGAATCGACTAGATTTATGTCCAGCATAGGCTGAATGATTCAGGCTTGATCCGACCGGAAGGAACCCATGTTAGCAACCAATGCACACTGCATTAATATTTGCCACTTCGAAGAATGCATTCTCTAAAAGATTTGCAAAACGAAGCAGTTAAACGAGTATTACGAGTATTTACCTTGTATATCTTAACAAATCAGATAAGACCTCAGCACCGCCATATCTTGTCATTCGCTCTACACAAGAAACTGATGTTTTAGCGTATTAATACCAAATTTTATAGCCGAATGGCTATCGCAAGATCCAAGATGATATCTGCAAAAACAATGTAGACTAAGCAAAATCAGCTAAAATATAGAAACATATTAATAAGGAATAATAAAATAGCTTCTTACAACAATAGCTATAAAATATAATAATTTTGTTTTATAAACCAATAATGAACGTCCACAACAGTACCACAGTGTAGAATTTTGGAATGCTGATGTTAAGAAAAGTACCACATGTAAATGACGGATCATTTTAGAAAACTGACATCGCTTCTTAATGCTTCCTTTAATTTTTATAAGTAAATTGAATGAATGAATGAATTTATTCCAAAAGAATGAGAAGATATTTGCCACCGAGAATCGAAACATGGGTTCGAATCCGCAGATATACCACTCTTCGTCGAGCAGCACCCGCTTAACGGGAGAAATGCAAAGGAGAATAGAATGGCTCTGTGGTTTGCGGCTCAATTTGGAGCGGCGTTGCTGAAATTTTACCCTCCGGCAGAAATAAACCTATCGAAAAAATCCCAGCAATGTTGGTGAACCACTTGTATTTTTACTGCCAACTCCCTGGCTTAACTGTCTGCTCCGATAAGAAAGCGGAACAAGTGGTAACCAATAATGGATGTCCTTTAAAAAAAATTGGACAGTTGACAACTATATTGCATGGAACTTCGTGTGAGCTATGTTTTTTCAATTATTTTAAGAAATTCTGACAACTAATAAACGGCCTTTATGGCTTCCACAGAGTTTGTTCCAAACATTAACTATCTAAATTGCTGAATATTTTGCCGATGGCCGACCTATCTGATTTTATTAGATTTTACTGATTTTACTGATTTATTAAATCTTTCGAAAAATCATGCAAAATAGAGACCAATAAGGCCATACAAAATCTTATAAATCATAAGCAGATCGGCTTTTCTCTTTTTGATGTTTCAATATTTGCAGCCAGGCACTTGATTTTCAGCGAAACAAACCATCGCCTAAGCAAATTATCAGACGACCAACGACTATGCAAATTTCCGACAAATTCACTCGAATTTACAAAATATGATTGCACACACTCCATACAGCGTTAATACTAAACGACTTTATGCCTTAATAATAGTGGAAAATTCGTCGTTAAGTCGATTTACATAGGCAATTCTGCTTGCATACCCGTACACTTGTTTATGCTTCTCTTCACCTCCTCAAAACTCTCCGTTAAGCCGGAAATTATTTCTTAACCAATGAAATTTTAAGTTTTCGTTTGGGATGACCTCGACCGGCTAAATTCAAGTCCCTCATCTCACCAACGTATTCTTACCTAATGAAATAAATAAATCTTTAGATCATTTAAGAGCCGCTGTTATTTCGCTATTGTGATTACCACAAGCATTATACACTGCCTTCCTTCAATGGACAATCTCTCTCTTTGCTCATCTCCAAGTACCATGAACAGGTGCAGAACGGCGAACTTATTCACTTTCTCACCAACTCGCACATGACCAATTGCACGAACTTTCAACCTACTTCTTCCATCCGATAAATAGTAACAAACAATCTAATAGATAGTATCAATCTGATGTTTGTTACAAATCGGCTTCGATCTTATTGAGGAAGCCGCGAAATCTTGCCGATTGTCGGAAATTGCCGCGGAATTTTTATAGGGAATTATGTGAATTTTTCTTAAATATTTTTGGCGGGTTGTCAATGTTGTTTTGTAATTGTCGCATGTATCGCACTGTTTTGGTGCACGTTTGCAAATCACAGCACCCTCCGTTCGCTATGGCCACTTTGCACACTTTTGTGCAGTTGCACATTTTATGCACTGCGACCCACGTGCGCTGTGTGCATTGTAGAAAAACGTTTTGGCTTTGTTGTGGGCATTTCGGTGCTACTGAGCATTCCGCTCGCACCGCATTTCGATGCCTTTTGACCATATTTTTGTTTTGGAAAATAACTACTGTTTCACTGTCTTTCTTGCAAGTTAAACGGAATTGCAAAAGCACATTGTTTACGTACAAAATCGAAGAGGCTCATCGTTGGGGTATCACTGGTTGACTCCATCGCATTGCCTCTTTTGACCGTATAGGACACTTACAGCTCGTTGGTTCACCAGTGAGTGATTTCGTGTTACATAACCAGCGACGAAATATGTAGGAATTGAGGCACTGCTATGAGGCTTCCACACCGTTGTAGTGTCAATTTTATTTGCGTAAAGTGGATTTTGCACTCATAAATCAATGGAATAATCGATGTCTTCGAGAGATATTTGCTTTCGCCATTTTTGCTTGGGTTGGGGCTGATTGGCTGTTACGACAGGCCCACCAGAGTGGTACCACTGGTGGCAGCACTGGGATTTTTCAGCGACAGGTTTCTGTTACAATTATCGTCAGAACATTAATTCTCGAGGGCTACAAGCTGAAAAATTTGAATTTTGCCAGTCTTTTTAAAATTCAGATAGATCTTTACACTAATGCACTGCCCAACTCCAATGCCATTTTGAATTTTTATCTATTTTAAGAAATATCTATTTTAATATCTATTTTAAGAAGAAATAAAGGTCATTTGCTTGTCATTTGTCATATTTGTCGGCCTAGTTGCATGTGGTTTCTCATTTTAGCTTTTAAGACGATGGTACTTCGAGCTCGGCCGTGAAGAAGTGAATCATAACCTTCATCGCGGTGCTTAATTATTTCTTTATCTTTTCTTCATTTATTGCAGAATTAAAAGCCTTGTGATAATTACTTATTATTTTTACTTTATTAAGAATTGGCAAAATAAAGCTATGGTCTGACACATTTCTTGCGTAATTATTTTTCGATTTCATTTTATCTGGATCGTTTTTGTTTGTAAGTTGTAGGATGGAATGCGACACAGAAATTTATGCTTCTTCGTCAAAGTCCGATATTAAAGAAAAGACAACTGGGATTGAATCATTGCTATCATCTGATAATCAGATAAAATTTGTCGCATCGAAGTAAATTGCATTTTTGATTACATTGGTTTCTTTATTAGCAATTTAAAAATTTAAAAATCTAAAACGTTTTATGTTTTATTGAAAAAATAAATGCAGAAAAAAATTGGAATAGAGAAAGATATACATAAGAATTTCGATATATAAATAAGAAAATAAATAAGAATTTCGCATTGAAATGAAATGCTTTAGGCAGAATTTTGAATCTGAGATAATCGAAAAACAGCCGAAAAACAGTCAAAAAATGATTCACGAGAAAATTGAAAAGGATATGGCTGAAAATAAGCAAAAAATTGAACATCGGAATCGCATAAATTCAAGTTCGTTTTCATGCTTGTTTTGTTGTAAAACCATATTTCACACTGATGGTTAATAATTGTAATGTGAGTTATTTGGTATTCTTTAATTTTTATGAAAATGTTTAACGCTCACCATTTCTGCCACCTCTGGCTTTTGGTAGGATGAGGTAATTTTCCATTGAATCAGTTGGTTGGTGATAGTTGGATCCACAATACAACTCAAATTTTTCATTAGCTTATTCTTTCTTGAGGAGAGGGTTAATCAATAATATTCGAAATGATAATCTGAAAGACAGCCATATGATTTCAAGAAACTCTTCGCAGAAAATCATTTTTATGAAAACTTTTACGATTATAATGTTTTACGATTATAGATGCTTCGATAACACCTCATTTCGAAAAATCGGATGGGCTTAGACTTATCAGGAGTGCGTATTCTGATCTTAGCCCAACTCCTTCATCGTCTGGATCTCCAGCCTCCTCCAAGTAAAAAAAATTTCAGATTATTTTTCTTTAAAACTCTCTTATTCATTTGATCATAATATCTTCAGGAAAAGGCTGAAAGTGGATGAATTTTCTAATGTTCTATTGAACGAGAGCTCTGGATCTGTTGCCAAACGGTCAAAATCATTTCCCGATAACAGCATCAATCGTGGATGTCATGTGAGTGCCGAATCAAATTATGCAATATCCAGATATAATATGAAATTTAAGAGAACAACCGAATCGGAAGTAAAAGCCACTAATATAAGTGTTCGTGTAAATTCTGAGCAGAGGAGCATCATGTCTTCGAAGAATATTGCTTCAAGAATAATGACAAATGTACAACCATCAACATCTACTAGTAGTAGATTCGAACCATATAATATAAAATATATTGATTATGATAGAAGTGGACCAGGTTCTATTATTATAAAGAAGAAATTCGATAATGGCATCAAAACAAATGGTTGTCATCTCGACTTATCGAGCAGAGAACTGTCAGGGAATGCCCCAAGGAATGGTTCAGCATTTCATAATAAAATGAAAAACAATGGAATATCCAATGGTTTAAAGAAAAATTGTCCGTTGTCGAATGGCTCAGTAGTAAAGGGATCTGCAAGACATGGCATATATAAAGTAATGCTTCAATATTGTTAAGTCGCTTGTACAGTATCAAGCTTCTTCAGCTGAATAGTTTATAGTCTTGATATAAATAAAGCCTTAATCTGAACTTAATATCGAAAAATTTTATTTTTTTAGAATTATGTTCGTAACACTTTTCCGTGCAAGCGAAGATTCAAAATTGTTGATGAAAAGGAATTTGAACGCCAAGCAAAATTTCCCGAAATTGATTTGGATTTAGTTTGCACTTGGGATAATTACAAATATCTGGTATTTTTTTGACTTAATTTTTAATTTATTTTGGTGTTGAATCTTCTTCTTCTAACAGCTTTCATCATTACTGGTTAGGCTGGCTCCAGCGGCTACAAGGGTAAAACCCTTCCAAGACGCTCTATAATAACATTATTAACGCAGGTGTTTTGGTGCTACTGATAATCAACTAATTTTGATCAGTTGATCCAAAAATTATTAAAGGATCAGTATATATTGTGATATAAACTTTTTAAGCCAAGAAATGGACGATATTGTGGTGCAGGTTTGCGCAACAGAAAAAATCATTGTTTTTTGAATGTCGTTTTGCAAATTATCACTCATACTCCTACATTAGCGCGCTATTTAACTGAGCAACATTTAGAAGATCGGTCGAATGGTAATTAGCTATTTTTCACTGTTATTAGCTATTTTGGCTATTTGTTTTTTTTAAATTTTCTTATTCACTGATTTTCCTTCTAACTTCTGCAATTTTTGTAGCAAAAAGTTTTAGGATTCTCCAGGGAATTAATGTGTTGTTTTACATGTGAGCTGGGCAGGCACATTATGCTGTCAATGGAGAATGAAAGCACGATTGTGCCTAGTTGGATCTATCCATTTGTGAAACGTTCGTTTTTTATTTTTTCTACGAGACACTTCCCACATACTATATTATTTATTATGTTGTTGAAAATTAATATGAAATTTTTTATCAAAGAATAAGAATAAGTATATATTGTGATATGTATGAAAGTTTTTAATTAATATTTTACATATAAACTAAAAAAATTTTTCTCTCACTCTCATGTGGGTGGTCATGATCATCCTCAATCTCAGATCCTTTACCACAGGACCTGGGAGATTAAAAGTTCTGCCCATGTCTTAGCTATTCCTAATAGTACGATGTTTTGAAGAGAAATTTGTGATATTTTTCCTCGAATCTGCTGAATTCATTTCTTTAGTTTAAGTTTCAAGTGCTCCAGTTATCATTGGGTCTACTTTGGCCTTTAATTTTCACATTTCTCTACTTCTTTTTCAACCCTTGATATTTCTCTAAATTCTTATATTCCTTCTTTCTGGTGTCGCTTGGTATTGCTATATCAATCACCAGTGTTGATTTCTGATTGTTACCATGTTATCTGGTTTATTAGCCAGTATTTATTTGCCTGTTTGGATGGAGAAATCCCACAGGATTTTCGCCTTATTATTCTCTACTATTTTCTGAGGAATCTTCCATTTAATTTTGGGAAGATCTAAGTCATATAACGAGCAGGCTCCTATATGTAATGCCAATTACTTGGTTATGCCTTTCAGTGCATGTTCTTCCTTCTTGCATTTATGTCCTCCAGTTATTATTGTGGATTGTTTCTGGGGCGTAATCTGCATCTGAAGCCCTGCCTAGTGTGGTAGATCCTTGTTTCGACGGATCTGATGCTTGCTCCTCTGCTATAATAATCAATGAATCAGTCTCCTTTTAGCTTCTGGTTTCGCTCAAGATAATGATTTTTACACTTATCGAGCCCAGTCTTCCTTTTGTGCTGGTGAATATTACCAGTGGAAATTTCCGTGTATTGTGAGGAGTTTCCTTGTCTTTTCAACAGCGGCCTCCATATCTTTCTTTGCCCATCTTACAATGTTAGTTGACAGGGTGCACCTATTTATGGCATGGACTTTATTCTTCCCATTGAGCTGGTTGTTCAAGATTGTATTGTCATTTAGTGATATACTTAGATCTTGCAATCTTCGTTACCTCATCATGGTTACCATGCGACTGTGGGATACCAAGGTTTTGTAACTAGCCTGTATATCCGCTATATGTCCTGGTGATAGGTCCATCCAATTATTATTACTTTATTTTCATTACTACTTTTCCTCTCTTTGCCACTGTTTAGCCAAATTTCACTAATAGGAATGTCCTTGCCGAATCGAGAACCGAGTTAGATGGATGAGCTAGTCAATATCTCGTTCACTTTTATCATATAACTTGTCATCAGTGTGGAAAAGATGGCTGGTGGTAGTCCTGCTCTTGGATTCGTATCCACATTTGCTTCTGACGATAATTTGACAACAGATTCAGGCCTATGTAAGAGGATAAGGGAGATAGTGCACCCCTTGCTACATGCTACACTTGATAGCTGCATGTTCAAATTGTTTCGAGTTGGCTTCAAGTGTCGTTTACAGATCCATGTGTGACATATTGCGTCATAGGTTTTCCTATAGCTATTCCAAGCTGTGCATAAATTAATCTGCCATGAGCCTAGACTGCCTTATCTATGAGAAGCTGATGTTTGGAGCTTCTGTTGTTCTTCCCAATGCCTTTTTGATCTATACTCATATACTGGCTCATATATTCATGAAGCTTAATGGCTATAATACTTGACAGGATTTTCCACTTTTTGGGTAGACAGGTTATTGGTCGGTAGTTGGCGGTGTTGTTTCCTTATGAGATTAATAACATTCTTTTTTGATTAATAACATCCTTCCCTGTGTTAACTAGTTTGAGTGAATGCCTGCCACAAGTAACTGGTTCATTTGTATCGTTAGGACTGTAGGCTATAGTTATAAATTTTATATATATATATATATGTATTTTTTTAAGAGTCCTCACCATTACTGGTTAAACCCGCTCCACTGGTTTGTCATAGTGAGCAATATGCCAGGGAATTCCTTGGCGATAGAAATACAGGTGAATCGCCAGCATCACCCGGATTTTTGAACAGATTTTTTTCTGCGGGGAATCGAACCTCAGCATCGGCGCTCCCAATCGAGCAATAATCCACTGAGCCATTCTATCTCCACATATATATGTATATATAAATTTAATTTAGGGGTATTTCCGGGTCGTGCAGATGATGATCAGGAAGATGCGCACGAGTTCTTAACATTATTGCTGGATGCATTACAACGGCATCATAACTTTGGGAAGGATTTTGAAATGGTTATAAATCCTTCAGCTATGTGAGTTTCAGCACGTGCGAACTTATCAGTTTTTGCTTTGGTTTAAATATTTTAAATCGAAATTGAGATATTTTAGAGGAGGCGCATCCGTGGCTGATCAAGTTTTTGGCGGAGTATTGCTTAATCGTTTTCAATGTTCATCGTGTGCGTATGTCTCTGAAAACTATGAACGATTTCGTGAACTTAATGTTGCTATAGGCTTTGGTCAAACTTTAACACTAGAAGATTTAATTGGAAAGCATTTCGGCTCAGAGATATTAACGTTCCATTGCGCTGGGTTTGTTAAAAATTTCTTTTTGAAATTTAATCTACTACTAAAATTTAACCTAAAGAATTAAAATTTGAACTATTGGGATATGGTTTAACAAGATTTTGAAACTTTTTGACCATTTTAATCTTAATGTTGATTTCATTTTCAGTTGTAAAAAGAAGGTTGAAGCTCGACGGGAAACTTTCATAGTCAATGTTCCAAATGTACTAATTGTCCAGTTGAAGCGATTTGATTGTGAGGGTCAAAAAATATCTCAGTCAGTGGATTTCGGGGTAGGGAATTATAATTGTAATTTCAACTTTAGGCAATCCATGATATTTTTTAAATTTTGATTAGAGCCAAATTTCAGCTTAAATTGCGACTGGATAGATTTATGTTTGATCAAGGCAGCATTGCAGAATATTCATTGAATGGTTTAATACAGCATTTTGGGCTTAATATTACATCTGGTCATTATGTTGCTGTTGTACGTGGCCTTGATTCAATAAGTTGGCATTTTTTTGATGATGAAAATGTAAGCGATTTATTTTTTTTAAAGTAGATTTATTGCCGAAATTTATTTATGGGCAATGCTTTTAATTGATGTTTTCATTGGTAAGAATGCATTATTTACATTCTAAAGTGATTGATGAAATTTTTTCATCATAATGCAGAATTTTAATATATAAATAATCATGTTAACCACACGCTTACTTTATTTAACTTCGTTTAACTTACTTTATTTATAAAATTTTCAAATTTTTCTCCTCATAAACTAAATTTTATCGTTTTTTTGTTACAGCATCATTCCGTCGGTGAACCGAGTTTTCGTAAGTACGATCCGTATGTTCTGTTTTATACCCAAGATTTTTTCAAACGCAGGTGATCAAAATTTGATCACTCATGTTGTCAAAATTTATTTATTATCTCTCGTTGAAGTAATTGTTTTTCATTTTTCTCGTTGGAACAATCTTAATTTTCTTACTGTCATTTGTTATTTCTACAGTCAGGGAATAGGATAAGTTTTTTATAAAGTTAGAAAATGTTATATGATAATTTGCAATGTTTTTTTACCTTTTTTAGTTCTAATCGCAAAGATTAATATTGTTTATCGGATTTTTTGGAATTTTTTAAAGTATTCTAGCAGTTGTTTCAGGAAAAATGATGTGAATTATTCAATTTTTAGTGTTTTTCATTATATGGTTGTTTTTTGTTTTTTTGTAAATTCTTTTGATGCATTTGATTCCTTCTATTTATTTATTTATTGTATAAAAATGAAAGAACTTAGTCTTATCCGATAAATAAATATTTTATCTGTTGAATAATCTGGCATTCTCAGAATTTTTTTTCGAGGACATTTCACCAGTGATTTCATCTGCTAAATTTTTTCACTTAATTTCGATAAATTTCAGAAATTCATTTTCTTTTTTGATATTTTTCAAGGACTAGGAAGATAATTGTATTGTTTAATTAGAATCATGTATAATAATTTCAGAGAGAATTCTAAATCAGCTGGAACTACTTATTGGGGTTAGTTGAATATATAACTACAGATTGTAGGAGCAGTTTGATCATATCTACCTTTTCTCTAATACTATTTGTATTAAGATTATTTATTCTTTACAAAGTGTCATGCGCTATGATCCTTGCCCATCAAGGAAATTTATTTTGTAAAATCAAGAGCAAATTGGATTTTTGATTGTGATATGTTAGATTGGAAGATTTTATTTCCAGCATGTAGTTTGATGGGTGGCGGTCAGGAGAGGTTCTGAAAGGTAAGGACCAGTGAACTAAGGTGGAGAGAGGAGTGGCTTACTTTTAGAATTAACCCTGGATCGAAAACCATGCTGTAGCCAGTGGAGTGTGCTATACTAAACCAGGAATGGTATTACTGGAAGAGCGATTTTTATTAGCGATGGTACTCTTGGTTTCAAATCTTTTTTCAAGAACAAGTTGGATTTTTGATTTTGTGGTATGTCAGATTGGGAGATTTTATTTCCGACATCTAGCGTTCGGATTTGTAGCAAGAAACGAGACCTAGTATTATAACAATGGCATTTCTCTATGTGCCAGCGAATATTTGCAAGATTTATTGAGAATTTCGCTAAATAAATATAAATAAATATAATTCTCAGCAAGTGGTTAGTTATTTTTGCAATACAGCTAAAGAGTCAGCGGGTATATCGTGTTGATTTAGATTTAATCATTGTTTTGCTGCTTAAATAAGTATTATATAAGCATTGTTAAAATAACCAACCATTCCATTTTTCAAAATTCACCATTTGAAGATCGGTATTTTTGTCATATTATAATGGCGCTCATCGTTTAAATTTTCATAGGTCTATTTCAATCTCTTCTTTTATCTTTTTGGAGAGAATTTTGTTATATGTGGCAATTAAACGAAAATGGCCAGAAAATGTTGGAATGTTGGATCAAAGAATGTAATGATCGAATGCTTAAGAAGAAAGCTAGTGGTCTTCTAAAGGTAAAGAAAACTGATTCCATTCAGTTTCAGTTTCATCTAAGAGCACATTGGTGGTTTGACTCGTTCCGATATCGGCTTAGGTAAATTTTGCCACAAGTGTGATAGAAGTACAGATGAGTCGCCAGTATCACTCGTCCTCTTAATTGACAAACGAATTTTGTCGAAAGAACTTGTCTGATTGAAAAATACTTTACAACTGGATCAAATGAGAAAAAATTGAATTTTTCGAACGAAGCAGTTCCATTGACAGAGTGATTATAAAATGTTGATAATATTTGCCAGATTTTGCCAAAAAGGATTTGTATTTATTGTTTCAGAAATCATCAGCAGTGATGTGCTACGATGAATTGAAAGAGTTGTTGGAACCTTTTATTGATAACCATCGTGTATACAAAATAATTGATGAACTGCAATTAAAACATTCAAAAGCGGAAAAACAGATCGATCCGATATATCTGGAACGAATAGAAAGGTTGAAGAGGCTCCAGGTGAATATTGACAAATTACAAATTTATGTATTGTCTTCCAAGAATGAGGTAACCGAGTGAGTATTGCTTCAGATTGAAAGGATTCTGGTTCTTAACAAGAACAAACCTTTTATTAAAAAATTCCATGGCCCCCTCTTATTTCTATGGCCAAAGTTTGGGAAAAATTTCTAACCGACTATCTAACATTTTTTGCGTCAGTATGAAAGAATTTTGAACTAAGAGGTAGATAGTTAAAAATGAAAGAAATTCTTTTATATTTTATAATGAATAATAAATTTTACAAAAATTTTACAAATGAGGATAAAATTTAGATAGAAAATTTTGCTGGAATAATATTTTTTCCATGGAATATCGAAGATGCAAGAATTTAACAGTTATACTTATTTTGATTTTCTCTATTTTTCTCTATTTTCTCTATTTTTTAAATTTATACTTCGCAAAATTTTTTTCGATTAAGGAAGAAAAGCGATATCGTGAAATGACTAAATCGGTGGATCCGAACCAAATTTATGGTCGCGTTAATTTTACGCGAGGATTTGGCGAGGTTGGTTTTATAATAGATCATAGATTATTTTCGAGATCAAATATATATCATTTCTTCACGGAAAAATTTTATATGTTCATTTCAAGTTTCATTTTGTTGTAGGAGATTCGTTCTGCAAATCGAAATTTGGTTGCTGTTTTCAATACATTATTAACTGTTGGTGGTGCTTTCATTTTCGGCTTTTATGGTACTAATAATCGATTGAAATTTATATTCCTATAAATTACTGTAAAATTGTTATGCAAAAACAGCAAGAAAATTATAAATTTTCTTCTCTGAAATTTATACTAAATCCTATTAATTTTGATTTTGCCAGTCGTAAGGCTTCTATATAGAATGATCGAGTAGTATGTTGCTTCGATTAAGGTCGACGAACTGCATGGGTCCGCCGGCAAGAAAAGAATAATCAAAAGAATTGTAAAAGAGAAATGCAGGTGGTGCTGAGTCTAGCTAATACATCTATCATCGAGTGGCTCCATGAGTCACCTTAGTCCATAGAATCATTCAAATCAAAAAAATGAGCATTAACTAACCGGTCGATTTATTAGAAGGGCAAAAAGAAGATCATAGATTTCCGAAAGGTTTTTTATTCATATACTTAGTATTTTGCAAAAAAAATTTAGGTATTCAATATGCATACCCAAATTTGAATTTGAACAACATGGTGCGTGTTACTATTGGCTTAATATTGGCAACAATAGTTTTTTTTGCCGATATTTATTTCATTATCACAAGAATGGATGATTTAGGAGAAAAGCCAATTCAAGTGTAACCATTTCATTTTTTAAAAAATGTTTCTTTTCTTTTTTTAGTTCTTTTGTTTTTTTTTACGATTTATACGCATAGCAAATAACAAATATTAATTGGGACTATACTTCTTTCTTATTTTTGCTTCTATTTTTCGAAAATGTAAAAATTCTAGGAAATCAGCCTATGAATGAATGCAATCAATTTAAAGTTATCAATAATTAATTATTTCTTTTCTTCTTTAATTAACTTGATTAACTTGTAAAGGAAGAAATTCGGTTGTTTTATTTGTTTTATTTGATTACCAGGTTTTCAGTCCGATAAAGCAAGACCATCTTACTAAGAAAGACAGTTGAAGGAGTTGATAGCGATACGAGAAATATATTCAGACAGTTATCAACTCGGTTATTAATTTGGACTTCATTTAGGGCAGCGCTCTAATAATCTTCCTTTTTTTTGTCGAAACTCTATTATTTGTGTTTTTTTAACAAGCTGAGTAGACCTTTAAATCACAAAGTAGGAATGTACAAATGACGATTCTAACTTCTAGTGTGTCAAAATTTTGCCTATTATATTACGATTAATCATTTCAATATATTACGATTAATATATTTCTAGTCGTAACGAAGTTAATATGAAACAAAAATTAATATATATATGTATAAGAATAAAGATATATTGAATAATTAAGTGAAATTGTTGTATTTCATTTTTTTATTATTCATTCCAACATATACCGTTTTTCCCTTTTATATTTATTTTTTATGTTTTCGATGGTTGTGTGATGGTTGTGTAAGTTAACTTACAAGTCAATCGGCTCATACTTTCACATTTTGCATAGTTTTATAACACACAGTTCGGTATTCGCCAATTTTTTAACGTTTCAATATATTTTTCCTTACTGTTAATCTATTGCTTCTCTTTTTTTTATTTTCCAATTTTTCAGACCTTCTACTCAAAACTCATAATTTATTGTTTAATATAAATGTTACATTTGAGCCGAAATTATTAAATTTAATTTTTTTAAAATTCGCTTCTTCAATTTTTTTCCGATTTGCCTATGAATGTTCTTAATTTTTCTATCGAATTTTTTTAATAATTTCGATAAAATTTTTTTGTCGTATAAATTCTAACTTATATCAACGAACAGTTACTTATATTCTTTATTTTTATCTTAAACTGCATCATGAAGGTTGGATGAAGCGTTTTAATGCAGCGTTTCCTGGATGTTTGTAATAGATTTCTTGCTTTGGTAATTTGATTAATCTGTTGGGCGTCACATGGACATAAATTTCCGTGAAGATTTGGATAACGGATGCGATCTTCCCAAGCGAACTGTACCAGTAATCAGCAGTGATTTGCGATATTCCATGGATCATAAGATTATCGCTGGTTTTACTCATATATTTATCATCCACAAATTTTACTTATTGGATTTAGCTCTGTTTCTGCGGGAAAAATTTTTGAAATATTCTTTGTGTTCATTATTTAATTCTTTAATGATAAAAAATAATTCTTTTATTTTTCGAGGAAACAAGTTTTGCTTTGAGTTAATTAAATTATTTCAGGTATCGACAGTTTAAATAGAAAATTAAAAATTGGTAAATTTGTTGTCGAAGATAGACAATAGAGCAGTAAGTTGGATGAGATCACTGTCTTCTATTAAAGGATCTTGGAAATCTCTTGATAACCTGAAATTTTTTTCGCTGTGTCAATTAGCTGTGGCACACTTATCAAATGGTATATTTTTTCTGCCCTTTCTTAGAAGTTAATAGTTTTTTTAATATGAAAATTGCTAATTCTTGTCTAAGGTTTAAACGAAGATTTAGTCAGCATTGTATATGGTCGATATAAAAAGAATCGTTTAGGCCATCGGTCGAGTTCAGAATTGCCAAAGGCATTTGCGCCATTAAAATCTATAAGTGTTGACGATCTTGGGCCTTCGATTATGTATAGAATTGAAAATGGAAAGTGTTCGCCAGCAAATCCGACACATCTAACTATGAAAAAAGGTGTCGTTAGTGCTAAGGTTTTTATCTTATATTTGCAAATTTTTTATCCTTTTATGGTTTTAATTTTTATTGGTATCAGTATTTATTGACTGGCAAACGTATATGCAGCAAAAGCAATATAACAACGATAAAAGCAATGAATGCTTATTGTTTGCCGTTTTACGCCCTTATTAAGAGTCTCCAACATCAAATTTTTTTTCTTTTCGCTTATTTACCAGTCAGTAGATATTTATTGGAAATTATAATTCGTATATTGTCCCACTGTGAAATGTTTAACCAAAAGAGAAATTTGAATTTTTTCATTTGTCGCAATAATTTTTAAGGGAAAAATTGCTGCAGTTGCTGTCTTATATGCCATAGCTCCAAATAATGGATTTATTTTGTGATATTTCTGGATATTTCTTATGCTTTTTCAGTTCTTATCATTATCCAGTTCCGCATTAGGTTTATTTATGGTGCCTGTACTTAGTCAGTATCTGTGGGACGCTGCAGTTGAAGAACCTGCTGTTATGACTTTTGTTATCGGTGAGATATTTTTTAAATTTGAATTGTTCAAATATCCATATATTATTTCGAATTTGTCAGATTTCAAAATTGGCGTTTATTATATTAAAATGATGAAAGAACTCTAGCACCGGCACCGCAAAATGAAAGCAAAACCTGTTGAGCCACTTTACTTCATTCCTTTTGAATGCATCCTTATGGTTCACTTTTTTTCAGTTTCGAATGCAATTTTTATTGTGCTTTCGTTGACTCCACTTTTACTTCAGTTCCTTGTAAAACGATTTGTCGTCGATATTCGATACAATGCTGATACAAAGGTGGCAAATTTTTCATTAAACGTTACTTATTGTTTAGCTTGTCTATATCTTTTGCTTTTCGCTCATAGACTTTCAACATGGTTACTTTAGCTTATCGTGTTTAATATTTGTTTAGAAAAAATTGTTTTGCAAGTGAATTGTTACAATATGCAAACAACTTTCAGATTTTTTTGGATTTTTTTATTTTTTCCATTTGACTTTTGCAAATTTATCCAATGAATGGTTTAGTGGAATGGAACTTCCTTTCAAAAATCTGGATAATACTGGCGACTCATCTATATTATTATCACCGAATGACTCCCTAATAAAATTCATCTGATCCAGCAAGCCAGCCTTTCTAGCAAGAGAAAAGTTGCTTCAATAAATATTGTTTTTCAGGTTTTTACTACAATCCATTATGGCTTCTTTCTAAACAAAAATGCTCTAAGATTTCGAATTGAAGATCTCATTGATGCAAATGAGGTAATGAAGAAATCTAAGGTTCATTTTCCTCTAGCAACTGCATTTGTTTATGGACGTCCTCTTTTATTGTCATTGGACGAAAAATCTTACACAAATATTGACATCTTTAGGAAACTAACAAAAAATATTGATATACCACCGCATAGTGATTAAAGTAGTATGAATTTAATAAAACTATTATAGCCCTTACTTTTTAATTTTAAATAAAAACGGCAATCTTTTTTCATATTTTGGTTTCCATATCACTTTTCTCAATTTTTTACTTTTAATTTTAGTCTGTTTTTTACAAGAAATATCGGGATATAACAGGTTGCTGCATTTTTTCGTTTGTTTTGTTTTCGCATATTTCTTACTTCTATATCTATAGCTATACCTTTTGCTTATTTTGTGCTTTTTAATAAGAATGTTTAAAATAACGGTTCTTATTTCAATCTTAAGTTGACGAACTAAAGTCGCTGAATAAATTTCTCGTAACATGTGATGCATATACACGCATGAGCACTTTTCTCGTATTTCTCATTAAACCACATTCATATATCAAAGCCATTTTTCTCGGAAGCTAAAATCTCTGTAATCCTCGGCTCTCATCAAATTTTCTACGAAATCCACCTCAAAAAAAGTGACCTTGATATCTTCGATTATAAAACCGATTGTGACGATTGATTGTGAAACCTTCAAAGTCAGAAGTGAGAAAGTAAGATTGGGTGATAATTATTGAATCATGTAAAATGTTTCGTTTCGCTTTGTTATTTTATTATCTTTTAAAAATGATTTTTGATTTCTTTATTTCACAGATTACAATGCATTTCGAAAAACATGTGTGCACTAATTAAGTCATAGATGAGAGGCCATAATCCTCAAACTTTAATTCCGCCACCATGCACCTCAATACACTCGTTAAATGAAGGAAGGAGGCAAAAAACAACTCGGATTCTGAAAGACTAATCTCACTGCGGTAGTTCGAAACGCACCGGGCCATAACGGATGTCTCATAATACCTACTACATTAGAATATCGAAAACTGAGAACAATCGCATGGGATTCTTGATCTCTTAACAGTATCAAAACTGCAAATTAGCGATTGCTGAATCTCGGATTTGAATAAACGTTGTTGCCATTTTTAGTACTTCTATGAATAGCGCGATGGGGTTGTGGAATTTCGAGGAATGTGCGCTCGTCTCTGGTTTAATTGTCGTTTTGTCCTCTATTCTAAGGAATGCTCGGAGAGGTTTCAAGGATTTTACTCGTTTCGGACTAAAAGAAATTGTTGTGGTTTATAAATGAGAGGGGGCCAGTTTGTTCTTTTATTTTATGTAATAATTTTTAGTTGCAAGAAAAAATTTATAGAATCAAATTGGGAAATATTTGCATTTTTCCTCATTTCTGCAGTCCACTTTCTAATAATTTTAATTTAAAACTTTCGCGGTTGTTCTGTTCGTTGGGATTCATTATTATTTCGTTTATTTATTTTAATGCAAATTTGCATTTAAAATTATTAAACCTTTTTCTTCAGTGCATATTGGATTTCCCTGTTTCGCGATTCGAAGCACGAGTCGGTTGTTTTCGCTCCTTCTTCTTCAAATAGGTGTTTATGTCATCGAATTCGATTTCGAACAGTATTTGGGAGGCTTCGCGTCAACAGTCCATCGGTTTGCCTTTCGGTGTTTGCCTTTTGCATTTAGCATTCTGCGAAAAGCTCTCATAAAACTTCAGTCATTATTAGAACAAAATGCTTATATTATCCCTGCTCAGTCGTTTTTTCTCAGATATTTCTTTTCCCTTTTTTGTTATTAATTTGTTGATTTGTTTCGTTATGCGATTTCGTTCTAGTCGAAGTCGTCTGACCTCGACATTAAGGCATTTTACCAGCGTTCATCAGCAGATGTTGCGAGCTGGTCTACATCCTTTCGAAAACTGGATGTTAGGGCTGTATTCTTTCTTTTATCCAACAAATCCAATTTTATTTAAAAATTGATTATGGACGACGCTTGCACTCCAAAGTGCCGCATATCTTGAATGCTCCGATAATACGATTTTTTTGGCAATTTGAAGAATTACAATAGGTGATGGACCATGTTTTCCATAAATGCGGCAGAATTAGCTTTCCGGATCGGTATAAATATGACGAAAGCCATTTGATAAATGCTATGCAAATTTTAAATATTTTGGGTCAGTTTTTATGTCAAATGTTCAAGGTGAAAGATGAAGTTCCAACCAAAATAATTGCAGCTAGAGTTTCTGGAATCGTAAGAAATTAACATTAAGGCGAAAGTTCGCATTTGCAACGATATAGCTTATGATAGACCAAAGCAATTGGAATTTACTGTTCTTGCCATCTTACTTTCTGGCGGAAAAAGTCTTGTCGCATAATTACATTCATCTTCGCTCTAATACCGCTTGCATAAATTTTATTATTTCAAAGCATCACTGGCCGTTGCATGCAAAAGATGATATCCGAAACACTATTTGCAAAACCTCGTTGTAGCCTGAATAACCTAACCGGTAATGGTGAGTTATTAGGAGGAAAAGAGTTTATCATTATTATATAGTTTCTTCTTATGAAGGTGAAACAATATGGGTTCGATTTCCTTAGTAAAGATGAGCCTGTAATTGCAATTAAAATCTTGGTGGTTAAAATCTTGATTTCACCTTTGAATAATTCTCATCTAATCATATTGTTAAATCAGAAGTGATGCGTGCTGTTGGGAAAAAATGAAAATGAAGAAAGCGGTCTTTCGAAGCATTGAATATAGCTTTTTGCTCTAATAATATATTCAAAAACTGAAATTGTTTAATTTATTTGCTAATTCTCCTTCTATTTATTTATTATTTATGTTATTATATTATTGCATTTATTATTATTTATTATTTGTTTATTATTTATATTATATTATGTTAGAATAGATTCATAAAATGTTTCACTCTAAAATGCAGTTTTCTTTCTTTCCTGATTTTCCATTTTATTGCTTTTTTGTTTATATATGATGTTTTTTTTATATTTTCAATAATTATCGTATAATTTTTGCAATATTAGGAAAACGTTCTACTCGAGCTGCGCCATCACCTCGAATCGTTGAAGAAGGAAATAGTGTTAGTATTTTTATTTTTTGATTAATTATTCACCCGACTATGCAAGGATTTATTAGATAATTTTTATGAAAAAATGGGGATGGTTAATTTTTTATTAATTTTTGTTATTTTACAGATTTAATTTTTTAAATTAAGTTTTGAAACCTTTTTCGCAAGAAAATCGAAATTCTGCGAAATTTAAAGGATTCGAAAGCTGCAAAGCATACCTTAAAATTTTCAAGAATTTTAGAGTCCGGAGCGCAAACGCTTGAAATTAAGTCGTCCATCATCACAGAATCAGAACTCTGCGAAGGATTCTGCAAATTTGGAAAAGAATATGGAGATTGAAGATGAAAAAGATAGTTCACAAACCAGTTCTGTTGATTATGAACCACTGAAACCTTCTTCACAAGAAAATTTACAAATTTTCAATAATTCTAATCGTTCATATGGGCAACTAGCGCCGATATTTAATTCATATGGGCCATCTCCAGTATCTCTGACTGGTAAAGAAGCCGGTGATGCGGTATCTCATATTGTAACGAAAAGTGCAAGGAATTTCTCTTCTCCTCATTTCCCAGCTAAAAATTTATCTATCGCTAATTTCCGTGGTAATTCATTTTTTTCAATTTTTTTAATGTGAAGGCAATGTGGAAAATTTTTTTGGAAAATTTGCTTGAATTATTCATGCTCCTCTCATTTTTAAAAATTTGATCTTCAGTTTCTACGAAGAAAAGTCGTGTTATGGAGGAATGGCCCATTTTGGAAGAATCAATTTTAGCTATACAAAATCAAAAACCCAATAAGACGAGTTTAGAAGAACTGTATCAAGTATTGTTTGATTCTTTTTTTTAAATATAAGTTTTGTTTTAGGGACATAATCTAGAAAACTTTGAATTTTGTTTTTATTTCTTTTAAGAATCCGTTTTTATTCAATTTATAGATTGTTGAAAATATAGCTGTGGCCGATTCATCCCTTGATATTTATGATAATGTAAAATCTTTTGTATCAAATTATGTGAAATCAAAGCGTGAAATCTTGCTAACAGAATCTGATGCGGCTTCGTCATTTCTTGAGCGTCTTAATTTCATTTGGTTACAGCATTGTCAGCAAATGGTTCTTTTGTTTTAAATTTATTTTTTTCATCATTTTTAAAATTTAAAAACCAGAAAAATTTGTTTAAATTTTAATGCACTTCATATTTTGAAGTTTATTTACTTTAGGAACTAAAGAAATATCTCCTTAATTTGCTACGCCAGTAAAAATTCATATCGGCTGCTACATTAAATGGAAATCTTCCCCAATCTTCGTCAAATATTTCTTTAATACTCCAAATCTTACTATTCCCCTTTAAAATCTCATTCATTCTTTTTTTTTAAATTTTTATTTCTTTGTAATATCCTGTTAAATCTCTCTTTATAACTTTTCTTATTCCTCTAGATCTCTCTAAGAATTTCCTCAGAACCAGTTCATTCTATTAACAGCTTTTGAAATCTCATTATATTGTCTTAATGCGTCTCAAATCTCCCCATATTTTCGCTACATCCTATCAATCCGTCAGGCGTCATTATAATTACCTAAAATATTGTTAAACCGCTTTATACTGTTTTCCTAAAATTGCTAAAAGACATACATTAGGAACAAATTTATAATTATATCTTATATTATATCTTAAATCTTAAATTTTCTTAAATTCCTCGGAGATCCCATTATTTTATTTGCACATTTTTTTCTAAATCTCAACAATCCTTTCATTTATCGCGCAGTGGTTTTTTCTTTCAGTGGTTTTCCTTTAAACTCTTTCGGTTAGTGTCCGATAAAAAACAATCTTCGTGTCAAGCATAATGAAATCTTAGCCAGTCTACAAGACTGCTCGTTTAATAATTTAATATAATCGAAAATCTACTGGTTAATTATAAATCGATGTTCCTTTCCTGTTTATAAATTATATAAGTTATTGAAAACTCTAATAAAATTATCGGTTAATGGGTTTTATTTTTATTTGAAAAATGTGCAAAGTGAAGATCATTGGTTAAATATTATTTGCACACTATATCTTTAATATGAGTTCATTTAGACCGAAAAAGGTTTAAATGATTCCTTTTAAGACATAAGAATTAAATAAAGACATTAATTTTCAGGTTATGGTTCGAAGCATTTTTTTGTACCTTGATCGGACATTTATTCTACAGGATGCTTCTATTTTATCAGTCTGGTGAAATTTTAATTTTGCATAGAATTATTTGCAGAATTTCAGTTTTCAGTTTTTCATTTCAGTTTTTTTTAGCCATTAAAATATGAACTAGATAAATTTAGGAAATAGAATGATTCAGTGGGTTATTGCTCGATTCGGAGCTTCGATGCTGAGATTCTACTCCCCGCAAGAGTAAATTTGCCCAAAAATCCGGGTAATGCCGTCTCAGATGTACTTCTATTGGCAGTGGACTTCCTGGCGTATTTGTCTAGTGCGACAAGCCAGTGGAGTGAATTTAACTAGTAATGGTGAAGGCTCAAAAAAAAATTGATGAAGGCGTTTGATTTAAGCGAAAGTTCAGTAACCAGCCATTAAACAATTAGTTTTTTAATTTTTTATATTGCAAATTAAATATTTGCTTTTAAGGGATTTGGGCTTGGACATATTTCGCAATGTGATTATGGAAAATCAAAATATACGAACTCGTTGTACTAAAGAAATGTTAAAATTAATTTCTATGGAAAGGGGAAATGCTCGAGTATTGTTTAGATTTTTTTTTAAATACTAATGCTGACTAAATTATTTAGTAATCTTTTATGCTTTTTAGATCGATCGGCAGCTGATAAAATCACTCATAAGAATGTTATCATATTTGGCGATTTACCAAAGTGTTCGTCTCTTTTTTGGAAAATATATCCAAATTTCACTTATTAAATATCTTTTTAAAAGCCTTTTAAATATTTTTGTTTAATCATATATTATCATTTGTCAAATTCAAAATTTTATGGCACAAATGGTTTATGTTAAAAAAAACACTAAAATGAGATAGTCAAATGCTTAAAATTTTATGAACAAGGCTTTTCAATTTTCATTTAAATCTTTAACTTAATCATACATTTCAGGTATTCGAAAATGCGTTTTTGCAAACGACAAAAGAATTTTATGAATTAGAATCAAAAAAATTGATCGATGATCTGGAAGTATGTCACGGCATGTTTTAGTTTTACAGTCAATATTAACAAAATCATTGTGATGATGAGCTTGAGTATGTTGAAGGTCCCTGAATATTTACAATATGTAAAGCGTCGTTTGGATGAAGAAACAGTTCGTGTAGATTATTATTTGGATTATTCCACTCAAAGACCCTTATTAACAACTGTTGATACATGCTTAATTGCTAATCACATGGAGAGTTTTGTTGAAAAAGGTAATTATATATTTTTTCAAAGTTTCAAAATAGATAGATGAGATTTCAAAAATGGATGAAATTTCTAAGGTTATTTTAAGAAATGGTAAATTTTATAAAGCAGTCATTTTCATTGTTTAATTTTACAACCAGTTCACTCAGTTTTCTCTTTTGCTTAATTGAAGCGAAAAAACTTTTTAATTTAAATAAATTTTCCACATCAATCAGTCAATTTGCTAGGCTTTGACACAATGGTTCTTGAAAATCGTTTTGATGAGCTATCACTTATGCATTCATTATTGTCCAGGACTAAATCAGGTCTAGATATACTGAAAAAAGCTTTCGTTGACCACATAAAGGTTTAATCTTAAACTTAATAAAGTTAATAAGATTTATTAGAGAAATTGTTTAAAAAAAACGTGTTTAATTTGTTTAATGGAATTTTCAATTAGTTAAATAAATTGAGTTTTTTATAATTGTCTTTAAATTTTTGTTTATCCTAAAAATTTTTTCATTCATTGTTTATATATTTCTTTATTTTTCATGGATTGCAGTGGACAGCTTTAAAAAATCTTAAACAATTTCAGAATGAAGGCAGGAAGCTTGTGATCAGTGAGGATAGCGAAAAAACTTTCGTTGATGACCTATTAGTATTTAAGCGCAAGTTGGATTTAATCATCGATCGGTTAATTTCTTTGAAAATCCTTCGTTATTAAATGGATGATCCATGTTATTTGCACTGTTTTTTCCTGGATAGAATAGATTCCTATCTGCAGTCATAAATTAGCTATTTCCATGTAAGTACATTTTTAAATGTAAATATTAAGCTATAATATCTTAAGCTGTTTTGACAAAAATCGCAAATTTGTGGAGGCTGAGAAAGATGCTTTTGATTTCGTCAATCTTCGGTTAAACAAGCCAGCTGAGCTTGTCGGTTAGTTTTTTTCTTGTATATTCTCTTTTTTCTCAGATTTTTGGTTGAATGTTAAGTATGGACTAATTCTGCCTCTAATTTTCTTAATTTCTTTTTTTAATGGATTTTTGCATTATCCACTTCTAAGATTTCCAGTATTTTCTATTCTTAAGCTAAATTTATGGATAGTAAATTACGGGCTGGAAATAAAGTCGCTACAGAAGAGGAACTTGAAGTTTTGATGGACGAAGTGATTGTTATTTTCAGATTTATACAAGGTAAATTTTTTATCATTTATCGAGTTTTCTTAAAAGATTCTTTTCAATTAGAATTTGGCTAAAATAATAAGTGCTATTTCTGAAAAAAAAGTTGTCATTAAATGATCGAAAAACATTAAATGCCGAATAATTGGGGGTTTTTTTGCATTGCATTGTGGTTCAGTTTTTCATAAGAAAGAATTTTATGCTTGATAATAATTTTCATAATACATAATCATGTGAGAATATGAAAAACTATGGTGATTTAATAGATAAAACCAATATATTTCTGTATTTATTGATTGTGGTTTTTTCTTTCTAAGGTTATTTTTAAATGTGGAGTTTTTATTCCTTATATTTAGGGAAAGACGTTTTCGAAAGTTACTACAAAAAAGATCTCGCAAAACGTTTATTATTTGGACGTAGTGCATCAGTTGATGCAGAAAAATCAGTGCTTTCGAAATTAAAACACGGTTAAATCATTTATTAAATAATTGATTTTCTAGGATTTATTTCTGCAATTTATTTTATACATGAATTCAGCTTATATAAGTATAAGTATATAAATTTAGCTTATATAAGTATTCAGATTATATAATTATATATATATATTTTTTTGTCTGAAAAAGTCACGATTTATGTTGACTACCAGTTTTTTATCAACATTGATTAGCTTCGCTCCACCGCTGCGGGCAAAGCAAATGTTGCCAAGAAATTACTTTGGGATGCCAAGAAGTACAGATAAGTCGCTAGCTCGCTAGCACTAACCGGATTTTTAAAGGATATTTCTTTTTCTCAAAAAATGGAACTACATCCTTGATCCAAAATGAGAGCAACTACCCATTCTTCCTTTAAGTTCTATATTATTAGATTTTATCTCTTTCTATTCACTATCAATTATTTCATTTTATTTTTTTATTGTACTTTTCTTTAGAATGTGGATCTGGTTTTACCAAAAAATTAGAAGGTATGTTCAAAGACATGGAAGTATCAAGAGATATCGCTTCTAATTTCAAGCAGGTTGTTTTTTTATTTTTTATTGGGATTTATTGAGAATTCGTTGAAATAATATATCTATTTTAGTTTATTTCTCATCCTTTATTTTTTTCATTCTTTTAAAATTTTCATATATAGTACATGGAGCATGAGGATCGGAAAGGCTTATTGGATAGTGATGTCGAGTATAGTGTTAACGTGTTGACTACCAATTTTTGGCCTCATTATGATCCGATGGAGGTGAATTTGCCGCAAGAACTATCGAAGTTACAGGAAATGTTCAAACAAGTGAGAGCTTAGTACTTTATTCTTTTATATTATTTTTTATTAAATTATAATCTTTTCATGATGTTGATGTATTTTCTCAAAAAAAAGCCATTAGTGGTTCAAGATCTGTGTTATGAAAATAAAACTCTGGTATATTAAGTTGAAAAATTTTGGAATAGAGGGATAAAGTTTTATTTTTGTACATTTTTCAGTTTTATACTTCTAAGTATAGTGGACGAACGCTTCAATGGCAATATAGTTTGTCACAACTTCTTTTGCGCGCATATTTCTCTCCAACGGTGGGTTTTTAAATTTTAAGTTTTCTCTTTATCATTTAATCATTAGTCGTTTCTGCTTTTTTTTAAAACATTTTATTTTTCTTCAAATCATAATTTCGCATATTTTCTTTTTATTTCACCGTATTTATTTATTTTTTTTACAATGTTTTTCCTACTTTTTCCCATTTGAGGTAACGAAAGAGCTACAAGTATCTATGTTTCAAGCACTCGTGCTTTTCTTATTCAATAAGAAAATTGAATGGAGTTATGAAGAAATTCTTAATGCAACTAATATTGGTTTATTTTTTGCCACAAATTTGTCAAATTTTATTTTTATATTTTTATATTGTTATCTGCCTTTATCATTATTTTTAAATTTTTCAGAATCTAACGAACTATGCAGAACGCTACAATCATTAGCTTGTGGAAAATTACGGGTTATCAAAAAAAATCCTCGTGGTAAAGATGTGAATCCGGATGATATATTTACTTTCAACTCGGAATGCAATGACAAACTCTATAGGATTAGGATTTGTCAAATTCAGATGAAAGAGACAGTAAGCGATTTTTCGACCATTTCTTCTTTATTTTTCTTTTTAATTTGCTCTTTTTTTTCTAACCATTCTCACCATTCTTGATTAAGCCGATTCCGTTGTTTAAAATAGTCTTCATGCTATTCTGTTCGATGCTATCGCTGACAGTAATAGAAGCCATTCCTTTTTCCATCGTCTAAATCCATATACTCCTGGTAATATAATCCATATTTACCGCCTATAAATCCTTCAAAATCCTTCCTGACTATATTTATGCAGGTCTTGGTTGGTCCACCTTACTTTTTGACGCCATCTATCACAGAGATTAGCAAATAACGAAATATGTGTCAATTCTTTTAATGAGCGACGAATAATGTGCCTTAACCAACGAAGAGATGTTCCGTGATTATGGTACCTTTAATTCAAGTGGTAGTTAAGCGAAAATGGACGCAATCATGTGAGATTTTTTTCCGCTGTGGACCCATAAGATATTTTAGACATGAGTGGTCAAAGTTAGATAGTGTCTTAATATCCTTTACTCTCAATGGCCAGGTCTCGCAGCCATATAGTAAGATCTGGCAAAATGCGACTACATAGACTCGTTCATTTTTATAATGTTTTTGTGACGAGTCCATAAAGATTTCATCAACCAGAAGAAAGCATTTCTAGCTGCCATTGTCCGGGCTATAATTTCGCTTGGCCACTTAAGATTTTAGTGGATCCGAGATATTTGAAATCCAGCACTTCCTCAACCGGCAAAGAACTAATAAAAATAGGGTATTTTATGATAAAATATTTTTTATAAATAAGACGATAAGGCTTTTATTTACATTGATCCTGTGTCTGATTCTCGCTGCAGTTGTTAATATATTATTTAGCATTATTTGCATTTCATCACAACTGTCAGCAAAAAGTATTACGTCATCAGCGTATTTAAAGTCTGTGACATTAAAGAGTTCGGCTCAAAGACTATCTTCTCCAGGAGTTTTATTGGCCTTAAGTTTCTAGATGATAGAGAGATTATTTCCTCTTCTGTTGGCGCTTTACAGTTGCAAACGTATGGTTTGACGGGCGAATTAGCTATTTCCGGGTAGCATATGGCGCGTCGTGGGTTTTTGGTACAAAACAATTCCATCTAATGAGGCGTTAATCTTAATAGGCATGATAGTTCCCCGAGTTATAGTTACTTTATAAAGAAGGTGGAATAGTTTGCTCTATTTGCTATTATCGCCTAATCGAACCACAGTCCCTATTCTCAAGATGATCTGGTTCCAATAGCGATTTCTATTTCACCATGCTTCTATAGTTGCAACTCTTCGAAGCATCCGATAGTCAGGAACTTTTGACGTTTTTTTTCCGAATCTTTTGGATTAAAATAGTTGAAGAATTTTGGGAGACGCGAGTTGTTTCTCGCAAGTTGTCACTTCTATGTGAATCTTGGGTCGAACCATAACATTTTCTAATCCATGAAGGTTATCATCCCGATTGGAACCACTATCTATTATGAAATTTTTCCAAAGGCGACTGATTAAAATCAATCTTATTGGAATTTTGGTTGTCTGGAGATTTTCAGGTGATTAGATATTTTCTCCATTGGCATATCCGACCCCACTTCTATATTTGCGAGTTACTGAGTTATTGTGGTGGCATTGCGACTTACGCTTGCATTTCAATTTCCTCCGATTATATAACCATTGCATTTTTTGGTAGAGATCGTTAGAACTTGAAGATTCGTATAGAATTTATCCTTAGCGCGGTCTCTTAAATTGGAGCATATTGATGACCGAAATATTGCAGAATTTTCCTTTGATGCGAGTCATAGGCCATGCAGTCGTTTACCGACTTCTACTTAGAGCGGACCGAACTTTTTCAGGTATTGACAATCGCTATGCGCCCCGAGTTATCCGAAATAATGATACAGCCAGTACTTCTGCTCAGGGCCAGGTTTAGTAATTTCACGAGACCTGAAGTGCGGAAGACGGACCATCAGGCGATATTTAGAAAGAGTGTGGACAGTAATCGCTTGCGACGTCCATAAGTGCTTTAACATTCCATGCTGCTACGGCCAATACCTCGCTGCTTAGATCCGTTTTCATTGATAGATTTCGAGCAGTTATCGTGATTCCTGAGCATCTTAAACCTTGAGGTTGTTTGATTATGGATTGCATCGCACTTGTCGCATGGGCAGTAATCGCTTGCGACGTCCATAAGTGTGCTTTAACATTCCATGCTGAAAATATCATGGGCGTCGGACGCTGTGTCAAGAAGACCTGACCCTTTCACCATAAAATCACTTGGGATTATAGTTACAGGTGAGTCGCAGTCACCTGGATTTTTATGATTTTTTATTTTTGTTTTTTATTTTGTTGTTATTATGGCAGATTTACTCCTGTCAAAGGAAAAAAAAATTAATAAGGAAGAATGGAAAATAAACTAATAAAAATAAATAATAAAATAAAAAATAAAATAAAAATAATAATAAAATAAAAAAATTTGTTTAATATGTATATAAATTTGTTTAATATGTATATCTCTATATATATTTTCTATATAAAATATTTATATATTTTCTATAATTTATTTTAATTCGTGTTCGTAAAAAATTAAAAGTTGAAGAAAACTTAGCTAAATTATCAAGAAAAAATTAGTTAAAAATTCAAAAATAATTTAAATAAATAAATAAAACAAAATAAATCGATGTTTTCTTGAAAATACCGCTCGCCAAATTAAATTATTACGACTCAGAGATACTTTTAGCATTTTCGAGCTTTGAAATTTATGGTTTTAAGGTAGAAGAGAGGGCAAAAACTGAGACGACGATACAAGAAGATCGGCAATATCAGATTGATGCGGCAATAGTTCGAATTATGAAAATGCGCAAATCATTAGCACACTCATTGCTCATTTCAGAATTATTCAGCCAATTAAGATTTCCAATAAAGCCCATCGATTTGAAAAAACGTATAGAAAGTCTTATAGAACGAGAATATATGTCTCGAGATAAGGATGATGCTAATATGTATCATTATGTTACGTAATCATAATTTAAAGGAAAATAATGGTAGTTTTTTTTTGAAATTTGTTTATTTTGAATGTTCGTAAGTTTATCAAAAAATTCGAGATAATTATATTCTTTTTTTAAACATTTGTACATTTTGCTAAATGGTTATAGCTTTGTTTCAGATTTTGAGAAATGATGGATTTTTTTTAAAAATTTTTATGTTTTCTCAATGTGGTCATATTTTTACTCCAGATTTTGAAAAGTGATCGCTCTTTTTTAAACGTATATTTTATGTTTATTCCGAAGTTCGGGAACTTTTAAAATGCTTAGGATAACAATATATAACAATACTGAAAATTTTTTTACTTGATGATCTACTGAAATTTCCATCAGTAAACTTTCTTGTGACTGTAGTTCTATTTGGCTGATAAATATGCTGTTTTTAATTTTTGCATCTCTTTGCATAGTCTTTAGCCTTTAGAAATTTGCAGAATACTATGTAAAAGCATTTTTGAATTAATATATTGATATTTAAATTGAATATTTTTGGTTGAAATCGTGGTTATACGAAATTTTGAAAATGTCTTCTTTTTATCTTATATATCTTTGGAAAATATAGGTTTAATTCTCATCATTTGACAGAGTAAAGCTTTCACTAAAACTGGCTGATTGATGGAGATTCAGCTATACTTGATTTATCTAAATGATTTATCGCAAATAGTTGATCTAAATGTTAATCTGTCCAGTCAGTGGGACCAACCAAATCAGAAATAGTCGTGATGATAGCAGTAGAAAAAGGTTTCGGAACAGCACTGCTAATGTTTTTTATCCAAAAAAAAGCTTGAAAGGTGTATTGCTGAGGCACAACTTGGCGATATTCTGATCAGTTGTAGAGAAAGTTGTATGTTGTTTAATTTCCGCATTTAATGATCACAAATTATATATATGAGCATTAGATCACTGTCGATAAAAAAGCAATAGCAGCTATCTGCTGTTTTAAAAATTTCATATAAAGTTGATTTTGTAGCGTGTTTCTTTATTCATGCAATTGAGCCAAGCGCTTTCAGAAATGGCGACCTAGTAGACTACGTTTTTCCATGGAAGTCCAAAAGCATTCGCTTCGTTTTTTTGTGGCTTGGAGTGGATTGTTCGTTACGCTTTTTATTAGTTAATTTCAGTTGTTCCCTCTCGCTAAAATAGAGAATAATTATTATATTTAGAAAATTAATTCCGAAAAATAATTTCAGTTCAAATAAAAATTTTAGAATTTAGTGCATTTTAATATAATATTCGCATATTCATGAAATCTCTATTTCACTGTGAGGTAAAAATTTGGCTGTAGAAAATCTTGTAAATACAAAAGAATCACCGTTGTATCATCGTCTGATGCAAGCGGTCTTCGCCGATTCCTGTTAAATGAGTCCGCTAAACTTCTAGACTCCATAGCTTCTGAATTTCTATACAAAAGCCTTAATTTCTTTTTTAATGTGTGCATTTTAAAATTACCCAGAAAGTACCGATGATGTATAGTAAATTAAATCTCGGTGGTTATTTTCTAAGTATTGGAATTTATCTTCATATTATTTTACTGAAAAAATCAGAAGATAGTGTGGCCGAGTGGTTGTGCTTAGAATATCGTTTTTCAAGGTTCGCATTCTATCTGACATCAGAAGTAATAAAATTTCACCAAAAAAGATGGTGCTGACGATCCATCTACTGGTAAAAATTTCTCATACTAACTGGCCAGAGACGTAAACCAAAAGTGATGTATGCCGACCATTCACTCAGAAATCATGTTTAACCTTAAAATGCTTAGACGTTTAAACTTTGTTGTAAGATTTGCAAGACTAGGAACGAAGAGAAATACTCACAAAAGAAATATCCTGGATCGTTTATATTGGCAATCATTACAATATAGCATACCAGCTGCAATTTTAGCACTTATTGTTCCATTTTAAATTAATATCAAATCAAAAAAAAATCGCAAACTGCACGGTGAATCTTGGTGAATGCATATGGTGCAATTTAGGATTCTCGAAAGTTTTCAAGTAATTTAAATATTTTAACTATTTATAATTAAATTATAATTATTTTAACTACAAAGCTTTTGTTGAATGGAAAAATTAATTGTTGGAAATTTGGGATTTCTTATTTATTATTCAATTCTAATTGAAATAAGTTCTCTTTAATAATTTATTTCATTTCATTTGATGTGAAAATTACGTTCGTTTAAATTTCAATTGAAATAATCAAAATCAGTTGAATAATTAATTCAAGAGAATTAATTTACTTGATTTACTTGATGTCCTACTAATGCTAAATGCTTTCTTCACGTGGTTCTTATTGAATAAAATGTATATCCATGGATTTACGCATGAATTTAAATTCCCAAGGATAACAATGTATGTGATAACTTCAGCGCCTGCAATTGCCTTAGATTAATTGTTATAGAAAATGTAAATTTATTCAATCCTAATTCATCTTCTTTGGATTTGTGACGACATTTTTATGATTACGTTATTTCCTCATATTTCCATCATATTTCAGGTTTTATAGGGTAGCGAAAATATTTTTTTTAAATTTTTTAATTTTTTTAACAGAAATTTTTAAAAAATGGTTAAGATTTATAGAAACTTATTATAATAGCCAAAATCGATAAGCCTATCTGAATCGATAATTTTGAGCGACAATTCTTTAAGATAATTTTTCTGGTAACCGCTTAGATCCAGAATTAAGTACTCACTAATCAATACAATTGTTCAGTCGCAAGATGTCCGGATAGGTATGCAATTTTAATTGAGATTAAAGCACTATCCACTATCGGTTCGATTCTTATCGCTTCACGGAAGTATATCAGCCATTAAAAGCGAAACTTGCACTTCTATCCCCAAGGGAGTATCGAGCGAAAGAATCTCATCATAATATTCAAAATATGAAATGTTTAACTAAACTGCAAAAATTGCAAAATTGCAAAATTTTTTTAAAAGATTTTTGCCTTTTCTCTTTTCCTTTCATGAAATATGAAAATCGTAATGGAAAAGATGGTTTTCTGGGAAGAAATGAATTCCGTGGAATAAAAGCTAAATTCTCTGGTACGACATGCTGTGAATATAATGGAATTCATTCTTTCCAAACCTTTTTAGTTCTTGAATAATTAATAAATCTATTTCGAAATCATTCATAAATCATGCAAATTTTATTTTTAAGGCTCATTTAATTTCAATTTCAATTTTTGATGGATTAAGTAAATGCATTGAATTTTAATTTGATAGAAGAAAATAATCAAAATGTTTAGCGGAATACAATATATCATTAACGATAATAAATGCACCCCCTATATTAATGGATATGACCGGGGATTCGGCATAGAAAATTTGGCTATCACAGTTCTAAAGATCTAAAATATATTTATGTGAGCAAAAAATAAAAAATATTTCCCGAAATTCTTTTTAAATTGCATCTAAATTATTTCATAATTATTTTATATCATTATTTCATTATTTCATAAAAGACTTACTAAGTAGTCGAGGGGCTAAAGCTTGCAAAATATTGACGATACAAAATGGTGACCACAAAAGAAAATTGCAGGTTATGATTGTTAAAGTCAATCGAACCGTTTGGATCCTTTTTCGGTCAATTCCAGTCGACTGGCGATTAAGGTGACCTGAATGACGACGAATGCGATCCAAGTAGTATTTCGTTTGTAAGCTGAAATAAATTTTACATAATTTAGATTTCTCGTATGATGGTAAATACGAATATATGCATTCAACCTAAAGCTGTCGCCTTTCTTCAGTAAACTCAGCAGCTCAGTAGTTTGCCCTTTCTGTTTTCTTATGAACATGAATTTATTTCCTTTATCTCAATATAAGTAATCACCGTACCTGTATGTTTTACTTATATCTTGCTTGTTTTCAGGCAATTTATTTGTGTGCGATGTACTTTTTGACATCCAAACTGTCTTACATACACGAAAATAGAAAAACGCAGCCAACATCGACGGCAATAACCAAGCAATGGTATTAAATGAAATAACGTAAATACTTTTTAGCTTCGAAACTCCGCGACCATAAACAGTTGCGCATTCGCCATCCGATCTTTAATTTAAAACTTTGTCTATTAAGGCTTTTTATCTATTCTCTTCGCATTTATTCTTCAATTTTCCAGAAAAACCGTTCACAAAGAATTTCTAAGCTTTAATTGTTTCGAAAAAGTTGAAAAAAACATACGTTTTATACCAAATAAATAATTGCGGTATTGAACAAATTAAAGCCAAAAGCCATGCTGTAGTGGCCAAATAGTTAGGCCTTCTAAAGCGATTGCTTCGATAATGAACAAATGGTCGGCATATAGCCTAAATTTTAATTTTAATTTTAATTCATTATTAACATAATATTAGTTTTATTACTTCTCGTTAGCTTTCGACTAATTGTTATATTAAAAAATTATCAGAGAGTTGGGGATGGAAGCGGAAATGAGCCTCTAACATCTAGGTTCTTTAATGATAATGGTTTACATTTTTCAGAGTCTCAGGTCAAATGCTATTATGAATAATTTCCAGTTTTTCTCGAGACCTATATTTGCATATAATTTTATATTAAACTCTTCCAGGCTTTAAGAAAATTAGTTTCTCGGATTTCGAACTGACGAGATGATACGAGGTGAACTTCTCGATTCCAATCCTAGACGTGCCTTGTTTTAAGAATTATGGAAAATAGTGCAGTCCAATTCATTCAATCAAAATCTAATCGAAAAAGTAATGGTAAAAGTAGCGGCCAAAAATTCATGATTCAAATTACTGCACGTACACGGACTATTTTTCTCCACCTTTTGATACATAAAATTTCTGGTTAGGTGAATTTTTAGCTATTATGCTAATAGTTTTTGGTTATAGAGCCGTGGGAAGATAGAGGCATTTATTTCGCATCACTGTTGGGATAAAGGAATTCAGTGGAAACATGCGATTCAGATTTTGTGCCGCAATCTGTTAAATATTTGATTTAATTTTTGGTTTGTAAGTTCTTGTATTATGATGAACTCTTACGTTGATATTTTATATTTAATAATTTTATTTGATTGTAAATTTATTTGCGATCCATTCTATAAAAATAATTTTTTTGCAACTAATTTTTTTTATTCAATACTTTTTATCAATTTAAATTATCGACGATTTTTTTCTGCCACATTTGCGCTTTGTAATTTTCCATGAAATCGATCGTAAAACTAAGTTAAAATAATGATCATAAAAATTCCATGAATTATCCGTTTTTTATTATTTCTTTTATAATATTTTTTTACATAAATACAAAATATAAAAAACACAAAAATCTAAATTATTTGTCAAATTTTCAAGTTTATAGGTCAAATGATAAATTGGCTTTGCAAACATTGTAAAAATAGGTGAAAAACGAGTGATAATATTTTTAAAGAGAATGCAGCTACCTGAAAGCGGTCTACGCTTATAGCAACAAGAAGAAATGGACTCGCATATAATGGAAACATTTGCAAATAGCGCACCAAGCGGCACAACCAACTCGGCCCACCGAAATTTGGATGTGTTATAATGACTAATATTTCTGTACCCAACGATAATAAAGCAAATAATAGATCGGCAGCACATGTATGTAGGAGCAATAACTGAAAATAAATGAGAAATAATCTGAATTATTAAATTACTTATTTTGTCAAATCTGATCCCTTGGTAAATTCTGATTTTACTGATTCAACTTAAAAATCATCCTTATCAATTTAATTTTAATTTTTTGCAATTACAACCTTATAGAAATAAAATATTTATTGACTGAAGCATAAACCTTCTTCAGCTTCTTCATCTAAGACCATTTCTGGTTCTTCCAGCAGTTTTAAGACAGAATCTAACCCATAAATTAAAGAATATGTGGATCCCCAGTAACAACCAGATCTCACTTTTAATGGATGATTTGTTCGTTAAAAGACTGGGCTTAGATCTGTGACAGCTTGTCCTTAACCGAAACATGCACGATGTGTCCACTCAAACTCAACTTTTTATCTTTTATCCTGGAATAGCTTAAAAACTGCTATATAATTTTTTTGAACTTTTCTGAACTTAAGCATTATTTGAGAATTTGGCACATAATCTGTCAAGACGACCTATGTCGAATTGATAGAATCATTATTATAAAATGAATTGAGGGAATTAATAAAATAAATAATAAATTTTGCATAAGGCGAACCTAATTGTATAGAAAAAAATTTGAAGACTAAACTCCATAAAAGAGAAAAAACTGTCTGAAATGAATTAAACATCGTAGGATTAAAGAAAAGGATATAGGCGAAGACATGGCATGACTGCTTAAAACTTAAATGCACTGATCTTCACCAGATAACTGTGTAAATCGGTTTTTTTACAGGTATCGAAGAAATAAAATAAAAATTTTTTCAGAAAAATGATCGTACAAATGAGTCACCAGGACTGCCCCTATTTTTCTTTCATTGGCAGATTTCCTCCCAACAAGTGTTGCAGGGAGCGAGGTAGAAGAGCGATTACTGATAGTCTAAGCAGTAAATATTAATTAGGTTATATAATATAGGGGCATCGAAGATATCTTTGATACACCCTTTATTTTTTATTTTTCTAGAATAGGAAAAATTTACCTGTACAGGAGAAATTTTTCTTTTACTTATCGTATTACCACGAATAATAATAATAATTAGGAATAAATTACCCAAAATTGCCAATGTCATAACCAAACTCATATGAATTACAATAAATAATATTTGTGATTGCATCATAGAATTTAGCCAAAAAAATTTTCGTCGCAAATTATTCAAATCATTTCATCCTTGAAAGTTCAATTAATTAATAAAGCATGATTAGGATTTCATCTATCGAATAATATTATACTCAAATTTTATATTTTTTACTCAAAATTAAGAGTAAGGTCGAGATTTCAATAAAAAGAAATTTCTGGGCGATATAAAATAATTAAAAGAAAGGATTGAAATAAAATAAAATTTCAAAGTTGAGAAATCAATTGCTGTAAGCATGCATCAGTGGTTATCATTTCTGGTTAGGCGCTCACTTGAATCCCTTATGGTTAAAAAATGGCCCCAGCAGATTCCAGAAATTTCAGAAATCAGAAACTTCTGTCCAGAGTCCTCAAGCTCCTAGGTCTCCGGTAGAGAATCCGAGGATTAGGACACCTATACCACCTATGCGAGTGAGAAAGAGATTTTTTAAAATGATTTTATATACTACCTACCGTATACCAAATAACCAAATAAATCTAATATAAACAGAGATTTCGAGAAATGCTAACACTTATCATAAATATTTCGTATTTTTTGAAAATATCTTCTTTCAGTCAGACTGGTTGATTGGCATGACTGACGTACCATTCAACAGAATTTTAATTATATAATTTAATTATATAGTTACATAGACTCACTTAATTGAATTTAATAGGAAAAACAGAAAAACTGCATGCATGAAATATTTTTTAATCCTTATTTAGCAAAAAAAAAAATTACAAGAAACTTGCAAAATTTATGAAATTTATGAAAGTTTGTGAATTTTGAAGCGAATTTTAAAATTTATTAATTAAAGATTTATTAAAATCAATCATATTCTTCGTCATTGTGATTAAAAGCAGAAAAGCAGAAATTATTTCCTCTTAGTGATAAGGTGATAAATTTAATAAGACAACTTTCTGCGTGTCATTTTTCGGTGAAAATTCGGCAAACAAATTTTATTCTGTTTGCACCGTACGATTCAGCTTCACTCTTATAGTCCAATATCGACAAAGCGCCATAACGATTGTTGTACCTCTCGATAAAATCCAATTATCACCAAATATACAAGCATTTATTTGGAAGACTAGTCGGTCGTATCATTCGTTTATATTTTAAAAGAATTGTGAACTGCGTCGAATTAGACAAAGATAATTGCAAAAATGTTTATATTGTAAATATAAAAATAAATTTATGACGAATGAATATTGCTCGAAAAAAAACATTTAAAGACAGTGGGATTAATAATCAAATTTTATTGTGAAATCTTTAAAAGATTGAGAAATAAAAAATTTGGATGGTTGGAATTGGAAATATAAAACTCAAAGAGATGTTTCTATTTGAAAGCAATTAATTCAATTTCTTCTTCGAGTATTACTGCATTGCAATTTCAGTCAATTTTTAGATATTTTATTCCTTTGTTAGAACATTTGCCCTTTTATAAATTTTATGCAAACTTTCTTCTTCTTCCAAGATGACACAAAATATTGGTTGGTACTTGTGACTTGTACATGTATTACCAAATGGTAATTACGGTTAGTCATCTTGGAATTAATTTTGAAGCTTCAGCCTCAGAATTTCAACGACTCTCTATGGCATAGAAATAAACAAATGATTAGCGCTCCTCTGGCTTTTGTTAGATTAACTTCGCTAGCCGTTAATACGGCCAGAAATTTATGCTAAGGAATCGTTTGGGGAGAGAACTACAAAGTCGTCACCACCACCTATCATGCTGTAGCAATTATCTTTATATGCGCCAGTAAAACTTATATTTATTTTTTATTATTAAGAATTCATTTTTGAAATTAACCCTCATGCATAATTTAGCATAATTTACTGATAACTCGTATTACAATTTTTCGTTAATGCCTATTACTAACAAAAGTATTTTTCGGTGATTTCACTTTTTTTGATTTCAATATATGGGTAAAACTACAGGTTATCGCTGAATTTAAGGAATGGAAGTAGTTTGCAACATTTGAAATTCCAACTCGAGTGAATTCGGAAAGAAATTTCGAAAAAAATTTTCTATTTTTGAAATTTTTGAAATCGATTTCAAAAAAACATCGGAAAGGATTTCCACTAATTTTGAACTTAGGAAAAATAAGTTGGAAAATAAGAGAAATGAACAAATTGTTCCAAAAATCAAATGAACTTAATGTTAAAAAGAACAGCTCATTATCCAGAATCTATAATAATCTATGATCATTTTTATCCATATTTTTAACTGAACCAAGATTTTCATTTTTACAAAAGCACTGGAATAAATTCTTAAAGGGTTGAACGTACTACGATTACATGATTACATAAATATTAATTAAGTTAGTAATCATATATTTTATTAAACCTGCTATGTTTTCTTCAAAGTAACTTGCTTAATTGAATTTTTAATTTTTTTAATTTTTCTAGGAAAATTTAATTTAACAATCTTTTAATTATATAAATGAATTTTTCCTTCAAATATGAATAGCTGTTCAATCTTTTCGAAGTCTAAAGGTGAAATAATTTCCAACGTCATATTTCAGCTCTCAGTAAGAATGAATCTCCCATTCTTATCCACCGAGGCGATTTACCTGTCGTTCTATCGCTAAGTGGATTTCAAGAGCTTGTGGAGAAACGGTTAGAAATGGTGAATTAAGCTTAACTATTCGCTGTTTTTGGCTAAGAATATTACAATGTTGTTGTTCTGGTAAACATTTTTAAATAACACATTTTTAAATAACTATCGTTTTATATTCACAAAAGAATATATTTTGTCACTTTTCAGCTTAATTGGAAAAAAAACTCGCAAAATTTTATATTTTTATAAAATTTTATAGTTATGATTTTAAATGCGAAATTAATTTCTCTAAGATAAAAATGGAGAAAAAAATAGATGAACAAAGCTTAATCTATGATTTTTCATACTTCACAACAAAAAATAAAGGAAATTACCACTGGAAAACTACCAGAAAAACTATCAGAATATCGAAAAATTTTGGTATTTCAAATTTTGCTTTCAGGCGATAAATTATCGCTCAAATTTATAAAATTCGACAAAAATTCGTTTTCACTATTATTTCTTCTATTTTCGTTGGTTAATTTCTATTTTTATATCTCATTTAAAAATCGTAGAATTTAAATTTCTAAATTATTTACTTTCATCATTTATTTTAATGAAATTTCAAAAAATTTGAGAATTGTTTGTTAAAAATTACAAAATTATTTGCCAATTCATTTTCTGAATAGCTTAAAACGAAAATTATGCAAATTACCAATAAAAATTAGCTACTGCAATGTTTTATTTTGATTCTTCTTTACAATATAATTTATAATTTCTGGCTAGATTCACAAACATGGCTGCTAGAATTTTCGTAAAAGTCTCGATTAAGAGGTAGAATAAGTTATTGCTCATTCTTCGAAGTAACGATATTTCACTATAGAAATGAAGAGCATTCTAAGAAAAAATGATCAAAGAATAAAACGGCTTTGCGAAATAATGGCAAAAAATGATTTAACATTATCCATTAAATTGGCTTAAATATTAAACTGAATATAAATTTGAACCGATTGAGAGGAAGTTGGCTGAATGGTATGTTGCTTGTCGACTGGAGTCAATCAGTCAGTGATAGGTTTCCTGGCTCTTCATACAAGTAAAGGTGTAAAGATGTAATAAAGAGTGAAATCTGAGTTGATGCTCTTAATCCCCATGTAATTCGATTCATAATTAAGCCTAATAGCCAGTGTAACTACTGAACCAAAAATTGTTTAAAAAATTTAGATTAAATTATTAATTAAATATTTTTGATTATTGAAATATTTTGTGAATATAAATATTGCTAAAAAAAATTCGTTAGTTCCATATTCAATTATATCACTGCTGTTCGTAATAATGATAATAGTCATGAAAAAAGGATGAGAACATTCTAAGAAAAAAAAGGAAAAATTATTTAATGATGTGAAAAATGGATTTGGTTCATTATGTTTCACTGAAAACGTACATGTAAACTTGATTAGTAATAGATGTATTACAAATGGCAATTTATATGTTAGCTGCCAATCATTTGAAATTCAATTTTTATCTTCGATTATTTTTATTAGAAAAAAAATGAATGAAAAAAATTTATTTCAAAAAAATAAAGGTGTTAATCACTCATATAAATGATAAATATTTTTTTTCACACTAAAAATATTAAAATAAATGGTGAAAATAAATAATTTATGAATTTATAAATATAAGTTGCTAATAAAATTTATTTAAAAAGTAGGTATTAAAAAAGATGAAAAACTGAAATTTTTATATTGGATGAGCTCTCTAATAGATGAATTCAGCTAATTCAAAAAGCATGAAATTTTCTATCAACGTTCCTTTCCAATTTCCATAAGTAATTTATTGGAAAATGTATCATTTCCATTTACCATTTCTGGTTAGGCTCGCTTTACTTGTTGCTAGTTTGGCTAGAAATTTTTAGCAGGAATTCACCTAGAACAAGTCCATGCTCACTTCTATCATAGGCTGTAGCTGAACGACTGACTTTCAGTGTGATAATTTGAACAACTGGTTACTCCAATGTCTTGCCTTCTTTCAATTCGACTCGCAATTTTCACGGATTTTTGAGAATACTAATCGCTTAATATGATAATTATTTCCATGATTATTTTTTTTTTTTTTTAACATATTTATTGCTTGAAATCTCCTCATTTTCATCTTCGAAAGTGGATGACGCTTTTCTTTTGAATAATTTGTTAAAAATGAGTAGTTAAATAAGTAACTAAATGGTTAGGGCATTCACCATTCTTAAGCTCATATGGTTGTTAAAGGAGTGATTTTGCATGAGACGTTAGAAGTGCAGAAGCTAAATTATTGCTTGAAAAATATGCAACACATATTTTGCACTTCTCTTAGTTAGAAATAGAAATCATTTCGAAATTAAAAACTAAAGCTAACAATCAAAAATGAGGAAGAATATTGAATATGTGCAGCAATA